CAACGAGAACTGTAGCATTTAGAGAAGAAACTGTGATTTATTACATTTAGGGAAATGTTATGAAGAAATATTTTAAAAGTTATAACTTTATATCATAATTTTTAAGCTAATGTCTCCTTTGTTCTTATAATCCCCTATCCTCGCACCCATGCAAAGCCTTCTGGCACCCCTTGGGGTGTGAGAACCCTTGGTTGGGAAACCCTGCTTTGCTGAACAACTGGGGACAGTTTGTTTGATCAGACCAAAGTATTGATTGTCTCATGTATACTCTGATTTGTTTACAGAATGTCATTGTGAAAGGATACAGGGGCTTTGGGGGTTACTATGTTTAGATATGACATTCACTAGCAGAGAGATCTTGGGTTGTAACAACCTTCTCAGACCAGCCATTTCTGGGAACATTATTGATTTGCTGATGTATTCTTTATTTCAGTGTGTAGTGATCCAAAGTCTGGTGTAAGAAATACTATCTTCAGGAAGAGCAGAGAAGAAAATTATCGAAATCCATTCCCTTGTTGATTGAAAACAAAGGTCCTTTCAAGGGATTATATTTGTGATGCAACCAGAATCAGACAATACCTGACATATTCCTTGAGTTAGGTAAGTTATAATTGTAATTGTACACATTTTTCTTTTTTATCCTGATGCTACTCTGGATAGACAACTATATCTTTTTGCATGCAGATAGAAGTAAATGATGTCTGACTGTGTTGTTTTAACTATACAGAAATGTCCTTTACACTAAAGTATAAATCACTTTGGTACAAAAATATGATCTGTTTATTAAATTTAACTCTCAAAAGCTGCTAACAGATAAGCTTTGTTTAAAAAAAAAAATTACACCAGTGCACAACATATTTTCATTAGTCATAACTTTTTCTTTACCAGTAGAGTTAAATAGTTGGAAAGTGTAATAAATTTAAGTCATGACTTGACTCATTAGCATTCTTTGTCTGTATTGAAGTATTTGCACAAGTGTTAGTTTTCATTGAGATAAGAAGACAGTTCACAAAGGGGAATACAAAGACATGCAGGTATTAGATTTGCTTTTTTAATTGGGTTGCCTCTCTTGACTGTCTCAATGGTATTACAATACATGAATGAAAAAATAGGTCAGTAATTAATATATGTTCACACAACTTTGTTTTCTTCTAAATATGTGTGCCAGTCAGAGTCCAAAATTGCTGTTGCTTATAACTTATAACTGAATATGAAAATCCACTGCTCAGTTTATCTGCTCATATTAATAAATAGTGGTCACTTGTGTGTCTAAGTCAATAGATTTCAAAGTAACTGTTAGTATCAGCACTTGCATTGTTCTACTCTACCTGAACTGGCTGCCCCTTCTGCTCTTTTTTGTGGTGTTTTATAGTTCACTATATTACAAGCAAATAAGACATCACCTTTGCTGTTATGTATAAATCAGACATCACCCAAACTGCCATCTGTATGTAGCCGGATGGTGAGTTGTGGTGGTCATTACAGTTTACAAATCCAAGTAAATCACGTCTTGAAACCTGTAGTCTTGATTTGCTCTTATTGTATGGTAAACAGAACTAGAACTAGTGAAAGAAAAAGCAGAGCAGACCAAAAAAAAAGGACAATATGTGAAAAGATATAAACAGTAGAGGGGATTCAAAGCAGTACAAACATTCAATGACATGGGGGATAACTCTGTATATTACAGGTTACTCATTGTGTGGCAATTATTCAGTAAACATGGGGAATAACTGTGCAGAGTTGATATGCTATTCAAAATATGACAAAATATAAATGACTAGCTGTTCCTGTCATATGTGACTGACTAGTTTTTCCTGTGTTATAATAATATAAATGACTAGCTGTTCCTGTGTTATAATATAAATGACTAGTTGTTCCTGTGTTATAATATAAATGACTAGCTGTTCCTGTGTTATAATATAAATGACTAGTTGTTCCTGTGTTATAATATAAATGACTAGTTGTTCCTGTGTTATAATATAAATGACTAGCTGTTCCTGTGTTATAATATAAATGACTAGCTGTTCCTGCCCTACACTCCACAGGAAAAGACCATTCACTTAAATACCTGCATCCAGCTATGGTTAAAGTGGGTTATAAGGGTCAGCTTGTCTGTGAGAGTTGTCTAATCTTGTTTGGGACTGGCTAGTGTCAGTGGCTCAGTCCTCTTAGATTTGACTTTAGATAAACCATCTCATGTTAGGAATGTATCCCACTTGGTGTTTGAAATTAGTATCAGTTTACAGCTACGGGATGCTTTGTAGATATGTTCTTGGGTGAACAGCGTGTTGAAATGTTCTTTGGGTGAACCATGTGTTGAAATGTTCTTTGGGTGAACCATGTGTTGAAATATTCTTTGGGTGAACCATGTGTTGAAATGTTCTTTGGGTGAACCATGTGTTGAAATGTTCTTTGGGTGAACCATGTGTTGAAATGTTCTTTGGGTGAACCATGTGTTGAAATGTTCTTTGGGTGAACCATGTGTTGAAATGTTCTTTGGGTGAACCATGTGTTGAAATGTTCTTTGGGTGAACCATGTGTTGAAATGTTCTTTGGGTGAACCATGTGTTGAAATGTTCTTTGGGTGAACCATGTGTTGAAATGTTCTTAAGGTGAACCATGTGTTGAAATGTTCTTTGGGTGAACCATGTGTTGAAATATTCTTTGGGTGAACCATGTGTTGAAATGTTCTTTGGGTGAACCATGTGTTGAAATGTTCTTAAGGTGAACCATGTGTTGAAATGTTCTTTGGGTGAACCATGTGATGAAATGTTCTTTGGAGGAACCATGTATTGAAATGTTCTTTGGAGGAACAATGTGTTGAAATGTTCTTTGGAGGAACAATGTGTTGAAATGTTCTTTGGGGGAACCATGTGATGAAATGTTCTTTGGAGGAACCATGTATTGAAATGTTCTTTGGAGGAACAATGTGTTGAAATGTTCTTTGGGGGAACAATGTGTTGAAATGTTCTTTGGAGGAACCATGTGTTGAAATGTTCTTTGGAGGAACAATGTGTTGAAATGTTCTTTGGGGGAACCATGTGTTGAAATGTTCTTTGGGTGAACCATGTGTTGAAATATTCTTTGAGTGAACCATGTGTTGAAATGTTCTTTGGGTGAACCATGTGTTGAAATGTTCTTTGGGTGAACCATGTGTTGAAATATTCTTTGAGGGAACCATGTGTTGAAATGTTCTTTGGGTGAACCATGTGTTGAAATGTTCTTTGGGTGAACCATGTGTTGAAATATTCTTTGAGTGAACCATGTGTTGAAATATTCTTTGAGTGAACCATGTGTTGAAATATTCTTTGAGTGAACCATGTGTTGAAATATTCTTTGGGTGAACCATGTGTTGAAATGGTTCCTTGGGTGAACCATGTGTTGAAATGTTCTTTGGGTGAACCATGTGTTGAAATATTCTTTGAGTGAACCATGTGTTGAAATGTTCTTTGGGTGAACCATGTGTTGAAATGTTCTTTGGGTGAACCATGTGTTGAAATATTCTTTGAGGGAACCATGTGTTGAAATGTTCTTTGGGTGAACCATGTGTTGAAATGTTCTTTGGGTGAACCATGTGTTGAAATATTCTTTGAGTGAACCATGTGTTGAAATATTCTTTGAGTGAACCATGTGTTGAAATATTCTTTGAGTGAACCATGTGTTGAAATATTCTTTGGGTGAACCATGTGTTGAAATGGTTCCTTGGGTGAACCATGTGTTGAAATGTTCTTTGGGTGAACCATGTGTTGAAATATTCTTTGAGTGAACCATGTGTTGAAATGTTCTTTGGGTGAACCATGTGTTGAAATGTTCTTTGGGTGAACCATGTGTTGAAATGTTCTTTGGGTGAACCATGTGTTGAAATGTTCTTTGAGTGAACCATGTGTTGAAATGTTCTTTGGGTGAACCATGTGTTGAAATGTTCTTTGGGTGAACCATGTGTGTCATGTGACTATTGTTATGTTTTACTGAGAAATCTTTTTTTTTAAAGCAGATAAACATACCATTAGCCAATGCTTCTGGGATAAAATTTGGTCAGCGAATTGAATAGAGTTGCTAAGCTGTTTAGTTAACATGCGATTGGTCGTTGCTTTGCTGTTGTTGATGGGACTCTACAAGTTTGATGGTATTAAATCGTAGGACATTCAACTTCAGTTAGCTTCAACTACAATATATCAAATGCTCATTTTCCCTCTCACCTTCGCCCCCGTGGCGTCTTTGTGACATGGTCGAACAGTCTCCACGGCGGCCCACTTTATCCATCATTATACCGGTAGAGGAAAAACGGTACCTCGATTTCCATGGCCTGGAGTTCAGTTCCTGGAGTCTGCAGAATGTGACGGTTAATGACTCCGATGGTTTTCACGCTTTTAGTCTTTTGAAAGTGATCCGAATGGGGTTTCAATGAGATTGTGTCACCATAAACGAGTTCTTGGTGAGGGGAACAGGTCGCCCATACATCCAAACGTCTCCTTTATGGCGTATCTTGGTGCCCCGTCTGTCAGTTGTCACCGACATGACCATGGGCCGGGAGTTGCCTGGGTAAACAGTTCAATAAGCACCCCGTACATCAGCGTTTCTCAATCTATGGGTCGCGACCCCTTTGGGGGTCGAATGATCCTTTTTCAGGGGTCGCCTAAGACCATCGTAAAATACATATGCTCTACAGTTATGAAGTATCAACAAAAATAATTTTGTGGTTGGGGTCGCCACAACGTTTGGAACTGCATTAAAGGGTCGGGCCATTAGGAAGTTTGAGAACCTCTGCCGTACATCAACCCCCTTTCTTACTGGCGGCTAGTGGCTGCAATGCCGATACCTTACCAGTTGCCTCCCCTATTTGAACTTCCTTCATTACCACTCGCAAACACACACCATACAGACACCACACACGCCGCATACACACACCACAAACACTTACCATACAGACACCACACACACCACATACACACACATACCGTTAAGTGTTGGTTGATTTGCCATGGCATTGGTGCACGATGACCTGATGTACAATGTCTAGTGTTGTATTCATAGAGACAGGTGGCCACCGAGCCATACAGTGTACGCCAGTAGTGGTTAGGGGGCAGAGGGTAGAATGTGCCGACAGTTTTAAGAACAATCTCTGACTTGGCTGATGGGTCCTTCACCCTAGAGCCCCTGTGAGGGATAGGTCGTCATTGTAAGGCTGGTGAACATGAAAACCTGGTGAGAGGTCAAGTGTTCGAGTGTCGAGTTCATTCATTGATGACTAGTTTATGACGTGTTCATCAATAAATCAGTGACTTTTTCTGGGCGACTGTGTCAGTTCGCTCCTGTTTTAGTTCAAATTAGACTGGGTTAACTTTGGACAGGAACTGTGTTTAGATAAGTTGAGTCTGTGAATATATTATCTTATTGTTATGAGAGTTTGAGACTAGTTTGGGGAATGTCTACTGTTGTGCACCCCTACACTGGGAACTGTTTAAGCTTAGCGTTATTTGTTTATTTATTTTTTTTCTTAAATTCTATTGGACAATATCTTACTGGTGTTGTGTTATGATGTATGAATCAACTATTCACAGGCTTAGTGCAACATTCCTAGCACTATCAAGATTGATAACCCTCAGTTAATCATGGTAATACAATGTGCTACTTTAACATGCAATTGGCCATGGTAATACAATGTGCTACTAGTTAACCTGCAGTAATACAATGTGCTACTAGTTCACCTGCAGTTGACCATGGTAATATAATGTGCTACTATAAAACCGTCCATTAAGCGAAATAAATTAGCTGACAGTGGGGAAAAAAGGTCGTAGATGGTTGGTGGGGGAAGGGGGCGACTAATTGTCTCTGAACTTGGCCGTAAATGAGTCTGAGAAACTCCATGAAATGTCAGCAAGCGACCACTCCTGCCCGTTGTCGTGAAAGGTCATGAAGATAGATAAATATATAGACGGGTTTTGTTGGGCCAGGACGAGAGCCTCTTATTGTTATTGTTGACTCTACTGGTGGCCATCTCAGTCATTCTAACAGGACCCGAGACGTGTGATGTTTGATGCACAGACACGTCCATGTAGTGTCAGTAATTATGTACAGTGGCCCACCAGCAGGGCCAGTATTTATTACTAGTTTCTTCAGTGGCCCACCAGCAAGGGCTCATATTACTAGTGTGTACAGTGGCCAATCAGAGGCCCGCATTCATTACTAGTTTGCACAGTTGCCCACCAGCAGGGGCCAGAATTACTAGTCTACAGTGGCCCACAAACAGGCCCCTTTTACCAATGTGTACAATGGCCCACCAACCTTTCCCTAGCTTTAGTTACTTAGATAAACACATTTGTGTTTGTGTAGAATTGAACAGGTTAACTTTCCAATGACTTAACTTATTGTTTGTGTCGTTGGGGATGTGATTTTTTCAGACCTCACCAACTCCTACTAGCTGCCAGGGTTTCTTTCAGCTATAGGGGGGCATTGCCCCCCCCCCCCGAGCCAAAATATATCCAACAATAAATCAACTACTGCTNGCTAGCTGCTAACGCCCCTTGTTGGGACAAATCAACTTCTAGAAGCCGACAATAGGGGGACATAAAACACGTTTTTATGGAATCATTACAGTTATGCCAACTGCGTGCGTTCTGCTTGTTAAGAGCCTGCCTTCCGTTGACCCCCACAAAACTATCTCTCTCTCTCTGCGTGTAGTGTAACGTTGGGTAAATGCAGCATGTTATAGAGACAAGTGTAACAAGGAAATGGGGGGGGGGGGGGGGTTGAGAAAGGGGGTAGGTGTAAGTTCGATTTTCTGGTCTTTTCAAGCATGGCAACTGTGTGCTTGAGATGGGCCTGGGGACGTCATTGATGCACTTGTTTACATGCTAGCTTTGTTTGGTCAGTTACTGGATCCACAAATGCCATTCCTTAACAAGGTCAGATCATACTATGGTGGAATGGGCAGGATTTTTGGAGGATATCTGTGTACTTGTTTCTTCCTGATAAAAATCTCACAGTTGACTGAATGAGTCAAATTTGGTGTCCTATTTATGAGTTGACTTTTTATGCTGTTCTTGGTATAGGGAATCTACAAACAGAAAAAATATGAATAGTTGATGATATAGAGACCAAAGTTAAGGTCACTAAAACTGACAATCAGTCCCATTGAGTTAGATGGGATTTACAGCTGTACCACATGGGAGATGCAACTTGTTGTTGCCACCCCATTGATGTGGGGAGTGAGCCAGAGTTAATAATTAACTGCCATGTCATTTGACTGTGAGAGAATTAGCATTCTGAGTATTGCCACATGATTCCTACAGGAAATGTATTCCCCAAAGGCCAGCCTTGCAGGTGTGACAGGTAAGTCCTTCACCTGACACCAGCACCAGATTATAATTTTGTTGTGTGTTGTTTCTGCAAGTCTTTGCTTGCAACTGTTGGTGTTTTCTTGCTTGGTTTGACTTTACAAGTCTTCCATGAGAAGTGTGCACTGCAGACTTGTGGCATGTCCTTGCTTGGTTTGACTTTACAAGTCTTCCATGAGAAGTGTGCACTGCAGACTTGTGGCATGTCGCTGACTTAGATCACACTTATATGTCTGATACATTGTTAAACATTGAACATCTACTTACTTTGTTTTATGACAATGAGCCCTGGGGGGGGGGGGGGGGGGGAGTGTCTAAAGAAATTTCACTTAAGGGACACCCCCCCCCCTCTTTTTCTCTCCTCCAAAATATAGACACACAGGTAAACTTATGTATGGTATTTGTAGGTGAGAAAAGGGGAAATGTTCAGAACCAGTCAGTTAGTGTGATCATCAGCACAATTTGAAGGCTTTTAAAGTTCAATTTTTTAATTTAATTCGATTATATAAACACTTTTTATATCTGGTTGCTATAATACTCTGTCCACCACCACAGATTTATTGCTATGATACTCTGTCCACCACCACAGATCTATGCAATTTCTACCTTAATTTTGTTAAATTTCCCCGCAAGCGGACTATGGGATTAAATAGATTTGACCTTCACCATTTAATTTTTTTTTTCTCTTTAGCTGTTGGAACATTAATCAATTTCACTTTGTCTTTCCAATAAAAACAGTTAAAAAAGAAACATTACAAATGTCATCTGGTATTAATTTTTACCGTACACACATTTTGTTGTAGAAATTGTTTTTAATGTTTAACTTTGAAAACTCTTGTGTTATTTTTGACGCACAAAAAGAGTTTGTTTTTATTCCAATATATTGATTTGTATTACTGTGGGCTTGGTTGGATTATTTTTGAAGATTATCACCATAAGAGGTCATGGAGTTATTTTGTTTGATCTTGCCAGATTGCTTCTTGTGTTGGGACAGCCATGAGTACCATGAAGAAACAAGGGGTCAAGACAGGTTCTGCCGTCAGCCCAGTGAAAGTTGCTCCTAATCCAAACAGTGGTGACCATTCCAACATCCCTGCTGTAGTTGCGGTGACCACGCTAACGACAGGCCCCACCATCATCAACACGTTTGCCTCCTGTCCTTCAGATATTATCACCATGGGTATGAAACATTCCAAGTCTGACCACTCTGGCCTCGGGCGCAAGGAACGGAACAAGTCTCCCATGGGCAAAAAGTACATCAGCAAAAGTCAGGACAATCTCACCACCGGCAACAAAAAGTCCCGGCCTTTAACCACCGTGTTGGAGTCACCACGGCCCCGAGACAATGCTGCATCCATCGCCAGGGCAGAGGCCGTCAGAGCTGCCGAGAAGAACAAAGAGAATGTTGCCCTGAAGGAGCGGGAGAAGAATGCAGTGTTTGTTAAACCAAAGCCAGTTAAACCCACAAGTTTAACCAACATTCGCAAGGCTTCAAGCACGCAGTCCATAGACAAGAGCAGCCAGGGATCGGGCAGTCAGAAATCTACCGCTTCCAAATCATCCAACAATTTAGCCATCAAGCGGGCCCAGAGCACACAGAACATTTCAAAAGATAAGTTGATGAAGAAAAGGACTTCTGCCCCAGCTGATGTCATGGCGTACAATGCTGAACTACTCGCCAACTTTGAGAGGGAAAAAAAAATCTTAGAGGTCAGAATCTCAGAACTGACCAAAATTGCAGAAAGCAGAAAAGGGGAGATTGAGAAGTACAAATATGAAATAAAGAGACTGAAACAGCCTACGTCTGTCACAGCTAATGAGAAGGAAGAGTTGGAACTTTTGAGACATGAGAACAAACAGCTTCAGGACAGGCTGACAGAGTTGGGATTCCCGGCTGAGCAGATCACAGATTCTCAGAAGCTTCGTCTCAAGTTCTCCCACTCGGCCGGCAAGAGTCACAGCAGCAGCTCAGACATTTGTCTGCCTACTAGCACCAGCTGTGACAGCTTGTCCACGGACGGCGGAGGGGCCAAAGGTGGGACGCACCGTAACACTGGGGAGGGAGGAAAGATGATGATTGGAGGTGGCTCAGACCTGCGGAGGTCAATATCACTGTCTGCATCAGAGCCAGGCATGTCCATCCCCGATCTCTGCGGTACACCAGACCACCCGTCCATTCTGTCCCTTGACCCGGGCAATTGGGATAAACAAAGTAACAAGTCTGCCAACAGTGACGGCTGTCTGAGCGAGGCATCGGTGGCATGTCTGACAGAGAGGATCCTACAGATGGAGGAGACCAACTACTCTACCACAGAAGAACTGCAGGCGACACTACAGGTAGGTGCTCTCATACAATCAAAGTGTTGTCCTTGGCCCTTTACCTCTTGTAAGTAATCTGGTATCCCTTTACCTCTTGTAAGTAGTCTGGTGTCTAAATGAATCTTCTCAAACTTTTCAGTGTGATGGGTCAGCAGCAAATAATCCCCATTGCCGCAAGAACCGGTTTCCCAGTTTGACAAATGAAATGTTTTTGTTTGGTTTTCCTTATTTACATTTTACCAATGTGAGAAGCGGTGAGAAAATCTAGAATGTATTACATTTAGAATTTAAACTGGATTTTTGAAACAAATCTGTCCCTTGAATTTTTATTTTTTTTTAAACTGGCAAGCAACCCCTGATGTTAGCAAAGTTTTAATAGTTATAAATAACAATCTACTTAAAGAATATTTTTGTATATCCTTAGACTAATGAATGAAATGAACAGGGTCAAAGCGAGTTCATATGAACAATGCAGTAGACTGTCAATGAGTCAGTCTGTGAATTACTCGTGACATGACAGATGCCACCATTCATTGTAGGAACTAGGAGACCTACAGGATGCTGTCAGTGAGTTGACAGTCTTTGACTAATTTACTGATAACATGACATGCCACCACTTTTTGTAGAGTTGACAGTCTGTAAGTTTGTTGATGACATGTCACGCCACCATTCATTGTAGGAACTAGGAGACCTGCAGGATGCTGTCAATGAGTTGACTGAAGAAAACACCAAACTGACAGATGAGAAAGCTGTGTTGTTGGAATCTCTGTGTGCACAGACAGACAAGCTAGAGACTACCAGGATACAGGTAGGTCAGCTTGAACTTAGGGGCTCACTTTGGTAGGTCAGGAATGTATTTTCATTTCATATTTCAAGATGTTTTTATAACAAAACCTGTGGCCTGATGGTTTCTGCCTAAGATGGTTCTATAGATTGCCCATGGCTGATGGTTTCAGCCTCATATCCAAAAGATATTGGGCTTGACTGAGATGACATCCCAAATAAGAGGCCCCTTGGTGAATTAGAATTACACATTGACAAATTTCAACCACCAAAGCCATTAAAAAAAAAAAAAGCTGATAATTTTGTTTTGTTTTAAAACTCTCTTGAGACTGTACCCAAAAAGATGGAGCCCTTTTCACAAGCCCTGCACTTACTTTACAAAATAATGGATACAAAATAAACTGATTACTTTACAAATATAAAACTTTATGTTTTATTGTAGAGAATTGAATAAACTAATACAATGTTTATAACTCTAACTAAAATCTCAACATTTTTGAAAATGAGATGGCCTGAATTGCATAATTCATGCATGCAATTTTTTTTTTTTTTTACACTTGGTATAAAATCTTCTTACTTGCAGACTTTTGTTAAATTGGCATATTTCAAGGTCACATTTTTTGTTAGCATTTATAGGGGTGACTAGGTACAAAAATAAATTGATATAAAATGACAGAACACCGTGAAATATCAATGAAGGCCGCCATTAAAATGTCAAGATGAGCAAGAAATGCGAGAAGCAATCTGAATAGATGTTAGGAAGACCATCCAGCTAATCTCGAAGCTTTTGTTATGGGGCCAATAGATCGGCCCAGCCTTCTGAAGGGGGTTAAAATATTCTATCTACACTATCTATGCTGTCTCAAAACAAACAATTGTTATTTTTTTAAAAATCAAACAAAAAGGAAAGAAAGTCATGTTTTAGAATGTCTCATAAAAAGATTCTAAGTTAATTTTGTATTATTTTTTTTTTTGTATTGCTAAGTTTATTATTGAAAAGTAATTATACAAAATAATTTAATTTTTTTTTTTTTTTTTGTGTGGTGATTTGAGTTGATTTTAATTGTTAATTTGAAAAGTGGTTTACCAATGCAATTATTTTTACTGGAATCTTAGTGAATTTTTTTTTAAAAAGATTTTAAATTAATTTTTTATTTTTTTTTTTTTTGTATTGCTAAGTTTATTATTTAAAAGTAATTATACAAAATAATTTAATTTTTTTTTTTTTTTTTTGTGTGGTGATTTGAGTTGATTTTAAGTGTTAATTTGAAAAGTGGTTTACCAATGCAATTATTTCTACTGGAATCTTAGTGAATTTTTTTTCTGTCAGCAGAAACCTGCATCTGTTTTATTTCCTAAACATTACCACAGAAAAATCATGTTTTTTTAAAAAATATGTTAGAAGAGCGGGAAACACTGGTAAAACTAAGCTCAATACTTGTCTACAGTTAGAGCAGTTGAAATGTCTTCTCATATCTGGGGAACTCCCTGATAAGTCTGACAGAGACGGTCACTTGCTTGGTCTCCTCAAGTCTGCTCAGGAGGAGAGAGAGGAGCTGATGAGGAAACAGATTGAATGGTCCAATGCCCTGCAATCCTTGGAGAATGAATGCAGGGAGGCTCAGGAGGCTGGAGAGAACCTGAGAGACAAGTACAGGTACAGGGAGTGGTAGAGTGATGAGTGGTGGGTGGTGTTAGAGGTGGGGGGATGAGTGGTATGGTGGATGGTGTTAGAGGTGGGGTGACGAGTGGTATGGTGGATGGTTTTAGAGGTGGTGTGGTAGATGGTGTTAAAGGTGGTGTGATGAGTGGTGTGTTAGATGGTGTTGGAGGTGGTGTGGTAGATGGTGTTGGAGGTGGTGTGGTAGATGGTGTTAGAGGTGGGGTGATGAGTGGTGTAGTAGATGGTGTTGGAGGTGGTGTTGTAGATGGTGTTAGAGGTGGGGTGATGAGTGGTGTGGTAGATGGTGTTAGAGGTGGTGTGGTAGATGGTGTTAGAGGTGGGGTGATGAGTGGTGTGGTAGATGGTATTGGAGGTGGTGTGGTAGATGGTGTTAGAGGTGGTGTGGTAGATGGTTTTAGAGGTGCGGTGATGAGTGGTGTGGTGGATGGTGCTAGAGGTGTGTGGTAGATGGTGTTAGAGGTGGGGTGATGAGTGGGTGAGGTAGGGGATGACATGTGTAACAGGTGGTTTTTGGTTTGAAGTAGAGATAATTAAATCCCAGTATGTGAAATGAGAAAACTTTGAAAACAATGATCATGTGAAATAGTTAGCCTAATGGGAATAGTTAGTGTTTGGGTTGGGTGGTCAGGATATATTGGACTACATTACACCAAGTTATTTGGGAAAATTCTATCAAAAAAGCTCCTGTGTGCCCAATTTTAAAAATAGACAATTAACCCCACCTCCCCCCCCCCCCCCCCCCCCCCCCCCCCCCCCCCCCCCCCCCCCCATGTACCCAGCTCCCTGGAAGATGTGAACAGTTCCTTGAGAGCAGAGAGAGATATTCTACAGCATCAGCTGAATGAGATGAAAGAAGTGAGGGCTGGTGAACACATTGAGATGGTTAAACTCAAGTCACTTGTGGAGAGCCATAAAGCCAAGGTAAAGATTGTGTCATTTGAACATGCTGCATGAGTAGATTGTGAGATGTGGGGCAGTCATTTTTTTGTTTGTAAACAGCTTGTCTCCCATTGGGATGTCACATAAATCAAAAACTTCTAATTAACTTGTATCTAAATCTATTTTAAATTTTTAAGTTGTACCATTCTTTGCTGAACATTATTCCCCAAATGCGGCCACATCACAAATGTGTCTGTTGAACATGAGCAATTCACACCTCAAGGTGGACAGCCAATTGCACAATGACATGTGAAATAACATTTGTTGGGGGGTGAGCCATGTCTGGTAGCACTTAAGCACTATTTTAATCCAGACATCCAATACTGATCTCCCACCTCAACTATATGGCAGGTTGCTGAACTGGAGACGTCTCGGGGTGGCCAGGATAAGACAGATATTGAGGCTCTCCTGGACACAGCCAGACAAGACAAGGATAGAGCCGAACAAATGCTGGCCAACTTGACAGAATCACTTGCCAGGGTGGAATGTGAGGTGATTAAACTCAAAGAATCTCTGGTCAGCAAAGAACAAGAGCTCTTAGGTAACTTTCTGATGGAAATAAAACTTAAGTTGGCATGGGTTTAGCATTAGGTTGGCATGGGTTTAGCATTAGGTTGGCACTGGATTAGCTATTATCTGTTGTTGTTTTTTTGTGATCAGAGCTTAGGCAACCTTCTGATTGAAATTTTGTGTGGGGATCAGCCTCACTTCTCCTTAGTTACTCATTACCTCCCCTACCTGGGCCTCTTAACTCCCTTGTTACAATACAAATGAAAAAACCTAACCATTTTTTTAAAATGAAACTGTCAAGCTATTTGATATTATTTTTTTTATTCTTTCAATCCAGTCAAATATTTCTCTTAACTACACTGATGTTTGTCTTGTTTCAGTGGCTCGTAATAATGCTAAAAGTCAGATCTCAGATTTACAGATTGCTCTGAAGACAGCAGAGAAGGAAAAAGTTGAAGCAGAGAGAGATGCTGAGGCCTTAAGGGGACACGTGGACCAGCTTGAATTGGACTGTCTCAGGTGGGTCTAAGACAGGTGGTCGACTCAATAGGCTTCACGAGCCACTTTGATTTGTTTGTGTTATAGTTTGAGTTTTATTTCAATCATGGCATCCAATAATGTTGTTAATTACAATTCTGAAAAATTTAAAGCTAATATGTTTTCACATTCAAGAAATTACCCTGTTTAATATGGCGGTAAGGGTCGCTTGAAAACACTCAAGAACCTGTGTACAAGAGCTAATGGGCTTTATCAGGGAAGTTAACTATATTATTACAGGCCCTGGCTTATAGAGAAAATTGGTGACAATCTGAAATTTCAAAAAAATAAAAATTGTATTTTAAAAGTGTGTACCTGATTTCCCAGGAAGTCTTTTGTTGACTGAAAGTCATCAGTGATCCCAGTGAAACCCTACAACTGATACTAAAACAAACACCCGCTAAAACTCTATAGAATTGTTATCTGTTCTTAAGGCACATAATGAAGTTTAGAATAACGAAATAAAGCTAACCTAATGTGATAGCTCTTTATCTCTTCTCTCACTCAACTTTTTCAATTCTATGTCTTTGTAAATTGAATGAGGAACAAATCATTTTGTGATAAATCCGACATCGGCCGGCCTCAGTAGTTCAATTGGAAGGCAGCGTGCAAGGAGCCAGCTGGATGCAAATAAGTTACGGCTTAGGAATAGTCAAACCAGATTTTGGGAATTAGTTACGGATAGTCTTTACTTTGGATGAAACAAATTTGCTGGTGACATGGAAGGTGTTTGTGTTGCAGACATGTTGAAGACAAGAAAAACTTGACTGTCAAGCTGCAAGAAAATCAAACTGAATTGAGAAAAGTTAAGCAAGAGAAACAGATCTGTGAAGCTGAACTGCATGAGGTAAGTCTATGTAAGTTACTGTTTGTTAGAGGTCGGTCTATGTAAGTTATTGTTAGAGGTCGGTCTATGTAAGCTATTGTTAGAGGTCAGTCTATGTAAGTTATTGTTAGAGGTCAGTCTATGTAAGTTAGTGTTAGAGGTCAGTCTATGTAAGTTAGTGTTAGAGGTCAGTCTATGTAAGTTAGTGTTAGAGGTCAGTCTATGTAAGTTAGTGTTAGAGGGCAGTCTATGTTAGTTAGTGTTAGAGGTCTGTCTATGTAAGTTAGTGTTAGAGGTCTGTCTATGTAAGTTAGTGTTAGAGGTCAGTCTATGTAAGTTAGTGTTAGAGGTCTGTCTATGTAAGTTAGTGTTAGAGGTCAGTCTATGTAAGTTAGTGTTAGAGGTCGGTCTATGTAAGTTAGTGTTAGAGGGCAGTCTATGTTAGTTAGTGTTAGAGGTCGGTCTATGTAAGTTATTGTTAGAGGTCGGTCTATGTAAGCTATTGTTAGAGGTCAGTCTATGTAAGTTATTGTTAGAGGTCAGTCTATGTAAGTTATTGTTAGAGGTCAGTCTATGTAAGTTAGTGTTAGAGGTCAGTCTATGTAAGTTAGTGTTAGAGGTCAGTCTATGTAAGTTAGTGTTAGAGGGCAGTCTATGTTAGTTAGTGTTAGAGGTCTGTCTATGTAAGTTAGTGTTAGAGGTCTGTCTATGTAAGTTAGTGTTAGAGGTCAGTCTATGTAAGTAATTGTTAGAGATCTGTCTATGTAAGTTATTGTTAAAGGTCAGTGTATGTAAGTTATTGTTAGTTAGAGGTCAATCTATGTAAGCTATTGTTAAAGGTAAGTATTAGGCAATAATAGCAGGGTTGTAGGGAGGAGCTGGACCTCGTAGCTCTGGATCAGGGTCTTTCGCACATTTGATTTGGTGCACATGTGATAAAACTCCATGAAACTATCCACCATAGGACCCTCTTCAACACTCACTTAGTATACTGTGAACACTGTACTGAACACTGAAAGAAATGTGTTGCTTTAAAGAACATGTGACAACTGCCATCATTATTTGTTGAGGAAATTTATTGTTTTGTGTCATTTCTAAAAATAGATGCAGTTTCAACTCTCAAGTCAATCAACTTACTAAGGATGCAGGATTTCAATAATGTTAGAACTGTATTAGATACTTTCTTAACAGAACATTGAAGACTGGAAATGGTGATCTTAGAACTGTATTAGATACTTTCTTAACAGAACATTGAAGGCTGGAAATGGTGATCTTATAACTGTATTAGATACTTTCTTAACAGAACATTGAAGGCTGGAAATGGTGATCTTAGAACTGTATTAGATACTTTCTTAACAGAACATTGAAGGCTGGAAATGGTGATCTTAGAACTGTATAAGATACTTTCTTAACAGAACATTGAAGGCTGGAAATGGTGATCTTAGAACTGTATTAGATACTTTCTTAACAGAACATTGAAGACTGGAAATGGTGATCTTAGAACTGTATTAGATACTTTCTTAACAGAACATTGAAGACTGGAAATGGTGATCTTAGAACTGTATTAGATACTTTCTTAACAGAACATTGAAGACTGGAAATGGTGATCTTAGAACTGTATTAGATACTTTCTTAACAGAACACTGAAGACTGGAAATGGTGATCTTAGAACTGTATTAGATACTTTCTTAACAGAACATTGAAGGCTGGAAATGGTGATCTTAGAACTGTATTAGATACTTTCTTAACAGAACATTGAAGGCTGGAAATGGTGATCTTAGAACTGTATTAGATACTTTCTTAACAGAACATTGAAGGCTGGAAATGGTGATCTTAGAACTGTATTAGATACTTTCTTAACAGAACATTGAAGGCTGGAAATGGTGATCGGTCTCAGTCACTGAAAATGTTCAATACTCTTAGGAGGTCGAGAGTCAATCTCTTAGGACCTCGGCTATGATTTTTGCGGCGCGCCTCATCTGCTGGGCGCTGCCGTAAAGGAGTTCATTGAGGCACTCTTCAGGATTCCTACCGTCAGCCCCATCCCACCACTCGGACACGTGACCACCAAGTGAGCCACTGTCTATTCTTCTTGTCCGCATAGGCGGCATAATGGTTCCCTTCTGTTGTCAAGTCGATGGAGGTAGCTGCGTGTCGCAGTGTCCAGTCCTCATTTGGGTGATGAGGCTTTGCTCTCCACGTCTAAGTTCTCACCAGGGGTCGCTCTTGCTCGGACGCTGCATTTTCTGGTGGATCTGTCGTCCTGTGGCTCCCGTGTCCACCTTCTGTGCCATTTGTTCCCAAAATGGTCTTTAAGCCAAGTCGTGACTCCCAGCTGAGTCATAGGTTTGTCTGAATGGGGCTGGGCCGCGCCTTCTTTGGCAAGGGAGTCCGCCCTGTCAGGAAGCGACACCTCTAAGTGCGAAGCGATGAACTGTAGGATTACCTTAGAGCCTTTCGCATGGATGTTGCCAACTGTCTCCAAAATGGCTGTGACCATTCTAGACCCCACCGAGCTCCCCCCCACGTGTTCGAGAGCTGAACGGGAGTCGGTGAAGACCACTACGTCCGGGAAAGACTTTCTTTTAGCTAGCCGTTTGTGGACCCTTTTGAGGGCTACCAGTATCACCTCAATTTCCGCATCGAGGCTTGTTCTATTGCTTCCGCTTCTGCCAGATAGCTCCTCGGGTGGGGCTATCTCTGCGGGATACTGGATAAGGACACCATAGCCACTGCATTTTTCCCTCGCAAAGCACGAGCCGTCTGTGAAGACTTTAACCAAACTTTCCGGGTAGGCGTTAATCGTGTTTCTCACAGCCTCTGATGGTTATGGTTGAGGACTTGCTTTGTCGGCTTTAGTGGTAGTCATGTTTAGTCGAATGTCTGGTCAGGTTTCAGTCTTTTATGTGGGCCCCTCATGGGGATCACTTTCACTTTCTCTCTGTTTCCGGATATTTGCACTTTTTAAACAGTTGTCTGAAATCTTATTGTTAGTTAGAATGAAAAAAAAAAAAAAAACATATATGACCATTGATTTGTTTAGATTTTGCTCACTGTCCAATGATATGAGCAGTGAATATAGGTGCTATGAGCACCATTGGAAACCTGTGAGCATGAGATTTTAATGTGAAAATATTTCTAATAAATGATTTGTATTTTTACTATGGTATATGTGCAAAGAGTTGTGACATAATTTAACCTTTGACTGGCTCGTCTGTGATGGTTGATCAGTCTCTTCTTGTGTCATCAGCTGAGCTCCAAACACGACATGGAATCTGAAGAGTGGAAACAGTTCCAAAAGGACCTGCAGACCGCTGTGGTCATTGCCAACAACTTCAGCCAGGAGACCCAGGAGAAGATGGACCGACTCACCCTGGAGAATAGCCAGCTCCATGAGCAGTGTGACAGTCTGGAGACTGAGGTGAACAAACTCAGGCAGGAGATGAGAGTCTTCAAATCAGCTGAGGAGTCTGCTTCCAGGAAATCATCCATACTCACTAATGCTGAGTTCAAGGGCAAGGTAGACATATTTATACTTACTAATGCTGAGTTCAATGACAAGATAGACTTGTTTACACTTTCTAATGCTGAGTTTAATGACAAGGTAGACTTGTTTATACTTACTAATGCTGAGTTCAATGACAAGATAGACTTGACTATACCTACTAATGTTGAATTCGATGGCAAGATAGACTTGTTTATACTTACTAATGCTGAGCATTATGTCCTCATCGTTTTCATTTGAGCACTTTCCTATTTAGTTCACTGCCACCATAAAATTGATAGGTTCCTGTGTCACAATCACAATGTCTTGTAAATCATGACAGAGGCGTAGTGGTTCAAATAATAGTGATTAATGTTTTATTACACATGATCACAATAATAATATATACGAAATAGGTCTACATCTCATGCCGAACATATTAATCCGAAAACACTTGGAATGTATCAGATGTATTTCGTTACTTCTTTACTTGATAAAGTGTTATCACACTATAAATCTTCATTTAAAACATGAAAGTTTTCTGTTGAATCTTCTTACATAAATATCGTGAATCAACTGTCATTATTCAACCACCATTTTTTGTTTCACTCCTTGCTATCTCCTGATTGGCCAATTTTCTCTAACTCCCATTACTCTGTATATTACATAAGTAATAATTCCTGTATTACTTATCTCCCATATATTCATATCTGTGACACTAATGCTGAGTTCAATGACAAGGTAGACTTGTTTTTACACTGATAAATTATTGGCTTATTAAGGATGTAGGGCTATATTTAAATATCACATTAAAATTATTTGGTTTGGTTAAAACTCTTTATCTAAAATTTAGAGAAGAAAAAAAGATTAGCGTAAAAACAAATAAACTTTTTATTGAAATTGAGAAAATCTGTATGTGTACTTATAAGCTAATTGTCATTAAAGTAGAGTTGCCAACAGTTCCAAAATGAAAATATGGGGACAGAGTTAGTAAATACATTGGTTTATGGGTACACAGTTTGTAAATACATGGGCGTATCAGTATGCTGTTAGTAATACTTGTGAACAAGCAGCATGAAAATATCCACAATGGCTGTGCAGTCAGCGATACAGCAACTGACAGACAGCTGACCTGAACTGACCCGAGGAATGAGAATAAACAAACAAATTCTCTATTAAAAGTCATTATAAATTCCCATCAAGAATTATAACTTTTGTGATAGTTTCCTCAAAGTCAGGCCAGCACAACTCAAATTTAATGCGGGCCATAATACTTTATGAAAAACTTGTGCAGGCCGAAAGAAAACTGGACGGGGGGGAAAGCTATTAATAAAATGGTAGTAATGAAGATTTGTTTGTTTCTTCGCTGGCCGCAAAGTCGGTGCTGGCGGGCTGCATGTGGCCCATGGGCCGTATGTTGTGCAGGCCTGCCTTAGGCGATCACAACTTGAACATTTGAGATTTAGATATTTAATAATAATGCCTTGAACATTTGAGATTTAGATATTTAATAATAATGCCTTGAACATTTGAGATTTAGATATTTAATAATAATGCCTTGAACATTGAGATTTAGATATTTAATAATAATGCCTTGAACATTTGAGATTTAGATATTTAATAATAATGCCTTGAACATTTTTAAACAGGAGCAGGAGAATGAGTTTGACCAATTTCAATGGCAGAATTTTTAACAATTTTCATGTTTGCTTTTTAAAAATTTACACAGTCGTTGTTTAAACCTTTTCTTACTTTTCCATGTCATCACTTGTGCTATTGTCCAGGTTCTGACGTCTATGGATAGGGATTTGGCTGCCATGAGGGAGGGGCGGTCCCACATGGATCAGCGCAGTCAGAGCATCTCTGTCAAGTCTCTCATTAGATCTATCGAAGAGCAGGTCAAGTCCGGGTGTTCTTCCATTCACTCCAGCTGCTCGGAGTCTCGGCGAAGCTCAACTTCCTCTGACATTTCGCTGACCTCACTTAAAGACCTGGTTAAGACTCCTTCGTCTCCCCTGCCCACCCCCGACAGCCCGAGGTCACCCACAAAAGACTTTGCACTGAGGTCTCTCAGTTTTCGGGGCAAAACGGCAGAGCGATCCCCACAGCAGAGACTGACCCCGGGGACGGCCGCTGGGAGCGGGATCCCCAGTCCAGAGGGGGGCACAAAGAGTGCCTCAAACTTGAGGGCTGAGGATGCCTCCACAAAGACACCCCAGATATCCTCCATACTTAAAGACAGGAGCACCCCAAGGAGAGGCAGTACTGTTGTGTAAGTAGAAAATACTATACAAACAATAGAATTTCTGGGACATGACAAGTAAAAAAAACTCCCTTCAGCTGCAGACCTGGTTTTATATGTGTTTGTTACGTTTTGGCTGCAGACCTTTTTTTATATGTTTGTTACGTGCTGGCTGCAGACCTGGTTTTAAATGTGTTTGTTACATTTTGGCTGCAGACCTGGTTTTAAATGTGTTTGTTATGTGTTTGCTGCAACCTGGTTTTGTATGTGTTTGTTATGTGCTGGCCGCAGACCTGGTTTAATATGTGTTTGTTATGTACAAATTTTTCTTTCCCAAAATATTTGATCTAGAAAAATACTTCTAAAAACTTTAAATGATGTTAGAAACGTTAAGATCATTACATAAATTCTTCTTTTTAAATTAAGGAATTGTGATGAGTTTTGGCAATAACAGGTAGAAATTATCGTAAAACGCCTGTAATTATTATCTCGATAACATTGGGTGATATTTTATATATATATATGCATAAATTAATTTCCATCCTTTGACTGTCTTGAAGAAACAGACACTTTTTGAAATGTTTCAATTTCAGAACATGCCTTACCTTTAAATTCTAAATTATTTGAATTATCTGAAATCTAAAATATTCAATTAATGAATTAAGGGTATTTGCACTTGTATTTTCATATTTACACTAATCAAATATGTTCTAAAATGTCAAAGTTATGAATGCATTAACGGGGATACATAATTTTTAAAAATTCAACTAAAACAAGTAAACACACGGTCAACATTGACTTGATTCCACCAGAACATGTAAACGCACGGTCAACACTGACTTGATTCCTTGCTTGTTTCCCCAGGGATGTTACCCCCAGTAGAGACCCATTGGCCTCCCTGGCCAAGCTAATGAAAGGTTCCAAACGTAACGCCTTACTGAAGTGGTGCCAGCTCAAGACCATTCCTTACTCTGTGAGTCATTTTAAATGATACGCTATCTAACCGGATGTTTTGGAATACTGTTGTTCTTATCTTATAAATTTAAAATAATTTTAGCTTTTATTTCAATGTATTTTTTTTCTTAAACTCTTCTTTAAAAAATATTATATGCAACAATTGTCTCCCTTTAGACCAACAGTTCTCAACCAGTGGGTCGCACGACCCTTACGCATGGCCATCGGAAAACACATATTTTTTTAAAGTAGCAACCTAAATAATTTTATGGTTGGGGGGTCACCACAAAATTGAGGAACTGTATTATAGGGCCACGGCATCAGGAAGGTTGAGAATCGCTGCGCTAGACAAGGGTAAATTGTAAAAAGCTCTTAGTTTTTAATTTCGGGGAGGGGTGGGTTAAATGAAAAGGAGAGGTTGTTACATGTAGGTATATCTAAAATCGTCTAAATATATTTAGATTAGAGTAAAGGCTCACGCCAATTATGCTTTTTAGATAAATCAGTCAATCATCTATAGTCTTGATTACAACCAAAGATGAACATTTCTTTGTGACAGAATGTTGACATCACCAACTTCAGTAGCAGCTGGAATGATGGTCTAGGCTTCTGTGCCCTCCTGCACAGCTATGTGCCTGAAAAGATTCCATATTTTGAACTCACATCAGAAGACAAAGTAAGTCCACACAATGTGTCCCATCAATGGGAACGATGGGGGAAGTCTTAAAAATACACAGCGGTAGACCACTTTACAAACAACATGGCCCCTGACATGAGTCACTGATAGAGTTATGTACTGTCACTGCCTATGTAACATCATTACCCATGTAACATCATTGCCATGTAACATCAAAGCCAGTGTAACATCACTACCCATAAAACATCATTGCCCATGTAACATCATTTCCCGTGTATCAGAAATTGCCTGTGCAACTTTATCAGTGTAACATCATTGGCATGTAACATCAATGCAAGTGTAACATCATTTCCCATGTAACATCATCATCAGTGTATCAACATTGCCTGTGTTAACATCATTGGACTGTTGTTTTCATGTTATCCATTGTTCTCCACAGAGACAAAACTTCACCCTGGCCTTCACAGCAGGAGAGAGTGTGGGCATCAAAGCTACACTGGTCAGTTCTAGCATACACATTTACATAACACATGGTCAAACACATTAGATAGCACATGGTCGACCACATTTACATAGAACATGATCATACAAATTTACATAAACATGGTCATACACATTTACATACAAATTTACATACAATACTTCTTTCTAGTAATACTATTGGCATCAGTAGTTTTTTTTTTTCCAAATTAGTATTAGCTTCATCGTTTGTTAGATCTTCTTGAGATCATTCATCAAAAGCATTGATCTGTTGTTATGGGCATGATTCAGTTTACACATGGACAATATGTACTATTGAAATGATTGAATTAATGTGCTGGAAACTCAATACTTTATTCATATTATAGATTGAATCACTATATATAATAGGTGTTGACACATATACTATATTATAGTTAGGTGAAATCACTATTTTATATTATATGTGGAATCACTATATTATATTATAGGTGAAATCACAAGACTATATTATTGTTAGGTGGAATCACTATACTATATTATAGGTTGAATTTATGCTGACATCAAAAATTGCTTCTGCTATATGCTTTGTTAATGTACCAAGCTTAAATAAATGAGACCTATTGTGAGTTATGACATTGATTGTCCAATGCAATCATTTTGAGTTTTAATATTTACAGTCAAATGCAGCCATTGATAATCACCCAAAGTTTGTTGTGAAACTAAAAATAACTCTGACCTATTTCTTTTCCTCACAGAACATCAACGACATGGTTTCCATGGAGAGGCCAGATTGGCAAGCAGTTATGAACTATGTCACATCCATCTATAAACACTTTGAGGTGGACAGACAATGAATGATGAGAGCTACCCACCCGCCACGGGCTACAAACACACCCAGCCTCGGGGGAGGGGGGGGGGCACATAACTGTTCCCAGGTGGACAGACTGTGACGTTAATAAAAGCTTCCTGGTGTGGTCCCAACTGAAATGTGTCCTGTTGACACTCCTGTGGAGACTGATATCCCTGTTGACATTTGTTTATTTTTCCAGTCAGAGCCATTTTGTTATGCATTTCCTTGAGGCAAACATTTGAAAGTCTGAAGTCATTGAGAGTTTTATTAATTTAATTCTGTTTGTGTTGTTGGATTTATACCTTTTCAAGTTAGTTTGATTCATTGTTATAATAATCTTAAGTCTCTTTTTCACATCATTTAGTGACTTTTAAATTAATTGGACAAATGACTTGGAATGTTGCAATTCTCATTTCAAATTTAGCCCTCTTTTTTTCCCCCTATCCTTTACTGTCATCTATTGAAATACAGAAAAAGGATAACAAAGTAAAGGAAATATTGTCTTGTATGAATAGAATCAACTTTTGTAATGTAAGAAAAAGTTTTTTTTCTCCATGTTTTGGTGTTTAAATATTAACTGTCATCTTGTATCTAAGCTACCAACTTTGCCTATCTCCAAGTGACTTGTCCATTTATACACTTACCACAACTACAGACTGACTTGCTTTTCCATTCATAACATGCAACAATTGGTTGTAAGGAGGTCTAGCCTTAGGTTTAGTTATTGTTGTTTCTCTATTAATATTTGACATGAGTTTGTTTTGCAATATTTATAGTTTGTATTCATTCTATCTAGTCTTTTGAACATTTTTATTTAACTTATAGAAACCATGTTGATTTAGACAAGAATTGTAGAAACTATATCCATTTAGACAATTCTAATAGACAACCATGTCCATTTAGAAAATTCTAATAGACAACCATGTCCATTTAGACAAGACTTGTAGAAACCATGTCCATTTAGACAAGACTTTCCATATTTAACTCTTTTGCTGAGGAATTTATTTAAAAGAGCGAAAAAGAGTGAGGTTATTTAAAAAATATTTAAAACATTATCTTTTGGTTTATAAGGCTAAATTTGGATTCAAATGAAAGATAATTGAATGGACTATAAGTTAACTTATTTCTTCAGTTAAATAAAAATAAGTATCTAACAAAAAAGAAACTTGAAAACATGTGAAAACATAATATGCTAAACAATTCTTTTCCCCCAAACCCTTTGATATAACTCAAATCATCTAAATCTAGTACTATGGAATAATAATGCAATGGATATTAATCAACTTAACTATCAATAGAAATAGTATAAAACATTCAGCTTTTTGAGCTGTTAATTGTCTAGGAAACTTACTCACCCCATAGCCATAGCAACAGTATTGATAAAGAAGAAAAAACAGCAAAGAATATTAATAAAATAATGACAAAAAATAAACCTTGCTTTCACTCATAAACAATGAATTACCACTCTTCTATGTAAAATTTTAATTAAAAAATCACCCTTAAAAGGTTTAACCGAGAAATAGCAAAGAAACAACCATGATATTGCAACAAGACACAGTGCGTTGGCCCATGCTTTTTAGCATGGCAGATGAATGTACCGTGCGTTGCACAGCAGCGAAAGAGTTTAATCTATATCTAATTTACAATGCATATATCATTTCAATAGGCTTTTAAATTATTTACATTGAATTCTACAGCAACACCAAATATATGCTGGCATGTTTTTTGCCAAGCTTTTCAAGTCATAATTTCCCACACAATCCAGAATCTGCTCATGTCTGAAATGAACATCATTTAATACAGGGGAGTAAATCAGTGAAGCACTGGTAACCTTAGGCTAGACAACTTTATATTAATGGGCAAAATTATCTCTTTTTTTTTTCAATACTGCATTTTGTGTCAGTATTCATTTACGGCATTTAAAACTGGGAAAAGACATAATTCTTTACTTTTCCATTTTTCTATAAACTCGGAGTCAATCTCACTCTTTCCGAGTGTTGGTGAATCTCTCTACACGTACACATCAGTTGTATTTCTTTGTGAGTGAAACATGATTTCAACTATCATCTCCATATTTGCTTAGCTGCTATCATTTGAGACAATCCTATTCCATTGTGTGCTGTAGATTGGAGAGAATGCTGACCTACATGCTACCTACATAGTGTTTCTGTTCCATGTGTGATGTATAATTGAATAACCTACAGACTGGTAGTGTTCCGTTCCATGTGTGATGTATACTTGAATGAATTCTGACCCACATGCTTGTAGTGTTCTGTTCCATGTGTGATGTATACTTGAATGAATTCTGACCCACATGCTTGTAGTGTTCTGTTCCATGTGTGATGTATACTTGAATGAATTCTGACCCACATGCTTGTAGTGTTCTGTTCCATGTGTGATGTATACTTGAATGAATTCTGACCCACATGCTTGTAGTGTTCTGTTCCATGTGTGATGTATACTTGAATGAATTCTGACCCACATGCTTGTAGTGTTCTGTTCCATGTGTGATGTATACTTGAATGAATTCTGACCCACATGCTTGTAGTGTTCTGTTCCATGTGTGATGTATACTTGAATGAATTCTGACCCACATGCTTTTTTTTCTTCTCTTCTTCCTTTTTCATAAGCTTATCTTATATTAGATTTTAAAAATAATATTTTACAATTATTTAGTCTTAAGACTAGGATTCCCTCTAGAGGCTGGCACAAATTTTATCTTAGATTATCCAAAACTAAATTCTGAATATGTCATGTAGTTGAAATGCTGAAAGTGTCAGAAATTGTAGAGTAGAAAATGATGGAAGTAAAAGAACTTTGATTATGGATTGGTGAGCTGATCCAACTTTTCATTGGAAGGAAATATCAGGTGTAAAGAAACTGATGATAATTTAAACAAAGTCAGAGTAGCAATAAACGTAAATGTTAATCAGGACTAAATCTAAATGTATTGTTGATAATATGTGGTCAAGTCAGTGATAGAGTCACTGAATGATTTAACACTGGTAGAATGTCAGTTTTCAACACTGAATAAGCTAATGATTTAACACTGAATGAGGATCTAGGTAGAAGGAAATGTGTGAAACAAGGTAGAACCTGAAAAAAGAACGCCATAAATGTGATGAGGTCAGCGAATGAATTTGATTTGGTGGGTAAATGAATGGATTGATACTGGATGGAGTCAGTGAAAGGATTGAAAGTAATATGTGGATTTTAGGTGTTGAATATTTAGTTTTACGCCTTCAAAATATTGTTTATATTCCTCCTTACTGTTCTATGAATGTTTCAATGTACATGACATACCTGTCCTTAATTTAACAATGTTTTTTTAAAAATTCAATTATGATGCATTTGTATTTTGGGTGTTTAATGTTACTTTTTCAAAAGTTCAGATGTAATGCTACTGGTACGGTGCTTTTATAAAGCGTAATCATTCCAATGAAAATAATTTTTCTGTACATATAGAAACAGGGTTTAGGATGAATTAGTTTTGGGTTCATTGCATGTAAAAATGTTGGCCTTTTGGTTGGAAGCTCTCACATTGGCAGAAAATTGGCTGCAATAGTGACTGACTCTTAACTCGTTGTTTAGATGCTGGAAAGACTGATTAAATCATTTGACCTTTCATATGTTGTGTTCTAGTTGTTTATATCTGATTTAATGGATTCGTAGCAGGCAGTCGCGAGCTTTCGCTCTTACGACCAACGCTCAACCCAGTTTGCGAGGTTCATGTCTTCTTCACATCCCTCAAAGCCCATGCACAACATCGGCGGTGCTCCTCGGGACGCTTCCGAATTCGCCTAGGTTTTCAAGGTCACCCTTTACTCCCCTCACTCCTCTCGCGCACCGAGGATCGTACCCTTGCTTATCATCGGAGTTGGAGACTCACTTCCCACCTCCATTGCCATCAGCTAATCTTTGGGCGTGCTGTTTTGTCTAGAAAGCACTGCCACCCCACGTTATTTGGTGTGTGCTTGTTCAAAATTTGCCCCTATTTTACCCGATCTAAACGTTGTCGTTCGGACTGTCACGGTAACTCCAGACTCTCATAAATAAAGTTTTTTTGTTTTTTTTTCCATTCCTTTAGTGCAAAGGAGAGGAAATCTGCCGTCTTTCTTAATTCTTCCAGACTTCCGTACACTTTGACCTTTCCTCCTGGTCCCAGGCTTAATTCAAGGCTTAGTGGGACTTTCTTGATCAACATGCACAGGGTGAACATCGTGTACGTAGTTTTTTGCACGTTCACTTCTATCTTCCATTTTTTCCTGTACCTTTCAATTGTGTTCAGATCTTCCTGGAGCGCCTTTTCCATTTCTCCTGCATCATCACCTGTTTGCCATATTGCCACATCATACGCAAAGAGTGCTTTTTGTAGATCAGGAACAGCACGCAACTAAGCGCCGAGCCTTGCGGAAGGTCTTCTTCTAGTGGTTTATACTGCGACTCCTCTCCATTTACACATGTTTTAGCCACTAGGTTTTTTAGGAAGTCTTTTAGCCATCTGTACATATTTCCTCTTACACCAATTCTCTGCAGTTTGAGGAACAGGCCTTCTTTCCATACTTTGTCATAGGCCTGCTTTAAATCTAAGAACACAGCTAGTGTGGCTTGGGTAAACCTTTCTTTTCCTCCTGAACCCTCCCTGGTTCTTATCAAGTAGGCTGCTCTTCTCTAGGTGCCTACCATTCTTTCTGCTATCTTGCATACGCACGTCTGGTTTATAAGATTTAGGAGGGTGATTTTTGCTTTTAGTCGTCAGGACCTGGGGCTGTCCCACTTTGACATTTTTCTAGCGCTTCTTCCAGTTCACACATAGTGAAGTTTTGAGACATGGCATCGTCTGGGTCGTTGTCTATCTCTCTTTCGACCCTTTTTCTTTCCGTCTAAATTTGTCTCCCCTCTCGTGACCATCTTTTTGCTTTGTTGACCTCGACAAAGTGTCCATAGAGGGTTTCTGCTTTTCCCTTATCGTTTATTATTCTTTTTATCTTCCCAGGCTTTATGGGATTGTTTCCTTGTCCCTCATTTGTTAGGTTGAGACTTTTGCATGTTTCTTGCCACCTTTCTTTTTTCAGGCGTCTTGTTAGTTGCCTGACCTCTCTTGTTAATTTAATGTTATTTAAATCATCAGTGAAGAAATCAACCTTTTTACATTTGTATTACAAGTAAATGTCGTTCAAATCCCATGAATTATAAAATTTTCCTTTGTGTTATTTTTAAAAATCAAAACTTTTTTGTTTAGTTATAGTTATGTTAAACCTATGCCAGCATTTGGTTCTATTTGTTTCTTTCTTTTTAAAAAAAGTTGTATGTTGTACATTGAAATTGTCTGGTGAATTTACATGTTTATTACAAATGAGTTTACAGAACAAATCCAGTCATTATTGTGGAATTTTAATTGAATAAACAACTAAAATATATTTGCATACAATTAGAATTTTTTTAATTATCTTTTCTTTATTACTTACAAGTCTAGAAGATAAAATAGAAGACAAAATGTTAGCATGAATTATAAAATTTGTATATAGACCCAAAACAGAAATTTCTATAAAACAACTGAAATAATTAATAAATTTGCTCTATAAAAATAGCCTTAATCACCTTTAATTATAGAAAAAATTTTAATTGGAAACTGAAAAAAACAAGTTACCAAAGGAATAAAAATAATTTAATAGAAAATATTGTTAATACTTTTATTTTTAGTATTAAGAATATAGTACAGGATTAAAGTGAGCCCATGTTAGTTAAGAAGTGTAGAAACATAATAAAGACAAAAGCCAAGAAATATAATTAGAATTCACATAAATATATCACCGCAGAAATGTTAAAACATTATAAATAAAATGCTATACGTATATAAATATGGCGAATCTATGAAAATGTGTATATCCATAAGAATCACATATAACTTTGTTATCAGACTGTCACACATCAGCTGATATCAGGCTGCCATTAAACAGAAAATATCTAAGATTGTTTTAAACAGGGCTCTTATCTGACAGTGTTACCACAGCATGTTTAGTATATTGAGAAAATTACCAGACACAGGCTAACTATAAATGTAGACATGTAGCAGAGGAGATCAGTTACAGCCAGTACTAACATTATGCTTAATACAACATTATATAGATCACTAGATTTGCATGATCAAAAAAATACAGGTGGTTGGGGGGGGAGGGGGGCAAAATTTGGTGAAATATTACAAATTTAAATGGCATACATTTGATGAAAAAATGGCCAGAATAAGAACATTTATATGACCAAAAACTAAGCAACTGGCTATGTTTATTCTTGAGTTAGTTGGAAATTTTAACTTAAAATATTTCAAAATAGGTCAAACTGAGGGTACACCAAACTTTGATGGAGTGAGACTAAGTTATGTGCCTTTGAAAAAAAGCCCACAGAAATTTGATATTTAGGTTGACCAGTGGTCAGCAAACTCATTAGTCAAAAGAGCCAAAAATCAGCAGCAGGACTATTACATTTTTTAGAGCCAAATTTCTTGTCAAGAACCAGTTTTTCAGAGTCAAAACCGACTTGTGGCCGAGCTGCTAAAGAGCCGCGATCTGGCTCCAGGTCCATACCCAACTCTTTGAAGAAACAGACCGGGCTCTTTTTTATGTATTTATTTAAATACCGGTATCTCTAATGACATTTGAAAAATCTGCCCCTGCCTGCAGCTTCACAAATATTTTCTTAGCAGATATAATTTATAAAATGGCTTCTCTCTCAAAAAAAGGTGCCAACCACTGGGGTGGACAGACACATTAGCCAATACAATAAATGATTAAACTTAAACAGTGCGACACCCTAAGCCTGGAAAAAAATTTTGTTGTTGTTTATGATTTGGGAGTGATTAGTTTTGATCACACAAAAAAAAGTAAAGTACAAGAATAAATCAAACAATTCCCTTTGGTCTGCTGTTTTGGCACAGTAAAATACTGGATGTGCATAACACAAACCATACAAATTGATTCAGTCATTAATAATGCCACCAATTTCGTAAGAGGTAGTTAAATAACTTATTTTAGGAAACCAAAATAGCTTTTTGCCACGCTACTTCGTAGTCTGCTACATCCATAATGTAACAAAAAAACGTGTACAATAATAATGTTAACCAATGCAGTTTAAGTCAAATATTAATTATGTCCATGCATCAAAACCAAAAGTCCAACTCCTAAACTCTGATCTCAGGTCTTCAACTCGTGCCTCCAGTTTCATCTGAATCTATGAACTATAACTCAATGCAAAATAAAGTATTATTAAATACTAATAGGGTTCATTTAGATTGTCTTACTAAAGGGATACACTCACGAAGGAAAAACATTTATTTTCGGAGAGAAAAGAGCATATCATTTCCGCTTTCATATCATTTGTGGTTGTCATGGTTTGGCTAAGTAAACATTCAGAGTAAAAGTATAACTTTTATTTTAAAAACTAAATTGCTCGGTCTGTTTTAACTAACCCCTACTTAACTTACTGGAATCGAGTTTAGAAACAAGTAACATGATTTTGGAAACAACCCAAATTGGTAAAAGTAGGCAAGCTACTTTGTTTTACAAAAATTTGAACGTAGCCCATTGGTTCAGGTGGTTATACCATCTCATATAGCATCTGCATTACATGGTATTAATATGCGTATCTTGTGGTTATACCATCTGTATCATGTGGTAATATGTGCAGCATGTGATTATAATATATATGCATCATGTGGTTATACTATCTGTATTAGGTGGTTATTTGTGTATCATGTGGTTATACTATTGGATCATGTGGTTTTACTATTTGTATTATATGGTTGCTATACTTAATGCATCCTGTGGTCCGACTATCTATCTCATGGAGACAGTCTGACAAGAAATGAAATGGTGTTTAACCAGTGGGAAAATAGCATCTAAAGACAAAGAAAGTAGTTATGCTTAGAAATGATCACATCTCCTGACAAAACAGCAAAAACTCATAAAATTCACTTTCAATAGTTGTAGGAAATAAAACTCATAAAACTATCTTTCAATTGTTGTAAGAAATAAGAATTCACTCATGTTAGACAATATTTTCAACAGCTGTATTGTTAGACCTACTTTAAAAACTACTTTTTTTAAACATTCCTGTTTATTTTCCTTAGAATTAAGACTAGCCTTCTGTTTCTTCAGTTGAGAATGTAGTATAGGCAAGAGTATGGGTGCAGTTCTGATAACCTATCCATAGTTCAGGGGGGGGGTGGGCCCACATTGATGGGTAAGTTGTGTTCATTTGTGTCTTATCCTAAGTCTCATATAACAATAACATGCATATCTTGGTGCAAATGTTTGTATCATTTCCTTATTAACACTAGTGTAAGATGAATGTTTTTTTTTACAATTAGATGACAAGGTAAAATCCTGAAAATTTTACTAGACAGTGTCCATAAAAATATGAAGGTTAAAGGACAATAGCACAACAGTATTATTAAATAGGATGACCGTACTGGGTAGTCAACACCAAGTGTATGCAAACTTAGAAAGATTGGTTTTAAAATGTTTAAACATGGGATTGGAATAATAAGGGGGCAGATCTGCCATCAGGTTAATACATTTGGAAATTTTAAAAAATCAGGTAAGGGAAAAACCTCAACTCCAGAACATTACAGCTGTATCAATTCTTTTTTTTGTTTTAATTGTTCTCTAAAGAACACTTTTCGCATGTTCTCTCTTTTTTTTTCCTCCAGGTGTTCCCCTATCCTGCGTTTTTTTAAATTTCTGAATTATTAGAATATAATCTGTATTTTGTAATTTCTCTGGAAGACAAGGGGTGATCATTCCAATGATAGGGTGAAATGGGAGGTGAATATATAGGTGTATTGTAAAATATACATTTTAAAAAAATATCTTCAGTTGTAAGGAATATATACTTTGAGGACAATTAATCTACTGCTGCGGACTGGCTGTGGACTAAGAGTGGTCCAAGGTGAACATTATTATTGTCAAGTATCTGAGGTGGAATAAAGTACATCAATAGTTGGGACTAGAGCTTCAAGCAATGTTCAACAAGATGACAAGCCTGGAGCCAATACACAAGTAATTGACACAAATAATGATAGCCATAGCCAACCCCAGCATGGGGAGATAGGAAAATAAAGAGATGTGTATAGAGCATGGGGAAAGGGGTTGAGTTGGAGAGATAGAAGGGTGTTGTTTTCCAACTGGGGTGCTACAAGCTAATTATCCTACATCATTTCTTGTGAATGAAATGCTTTGATTCACACTTTAAATTGAGTTTCTTCCAAAAGCCTTTGGCACCAATCTTGCATCTGGACAAAAAATCTTGGTTGATAAACGTTTAAAGCATTTCTCAAAAGACTAGAAGTAAGCCTTCATGTTGATAAGTGATGATAGCGATAGATTGTAACATTGGACAGCAATCAGGTTCAAAAGTTTGGTTTTTAAAAAAATGCCATCAAAACCTTTCAACAGTCAACACTGAAAAATCAACAAAATTTATTTTTTCTCTAAATACAGTAGAGCCTCAGTTTGTCAGAACTAACAACTGGGATCAGGGAATAACCTAACACTCTCACTCACAACCATCAGTTGTGTTGAAAAATGTTAGTGTTTAAAATATACAGTATGGTGCTTATTGTCCTGTATTGTCCTTTGTAACTAAACAGCGTGATATTTTAAAGTCCTCTCAGGAGTACCGGGAGGGCTGGATTTTATTTCTGCTCACATCAAAGATTAAATCAATTGCACAGAGAATAAAATCTGAGGCAAATCTTTGCTGCCATGTATTCTGCAATGCACAGGGTGGTGCAATAAATATGGGACCGCCTCATGACATCTTCTGCAATATAAAAATATCAGCAACAGTATGCGGCAAAACTAAAGTATCTGAAATTCCCACATCTATGCAAGAAACATGATTCACTTTCTTCACCAGACAGCCCTGACCTAAATCTGCTAGAATATGCTAATCGGGGTGTCTCCAACAAAAAGTAACCTTCATCCTACATTGCCATTGTTTAAGAGTGGCTAAAATTGTCTCAGTGGTTATAGCAGGAGCATTGACCAAGTGCATTGGCGCAGCCGTTTAGAAAATTCTATTAAGAACCAAAGAGGAAACATGGAATTCGATTTTTTTAATATACCAGACCTGTTTACCCTAAAACTCTTAAAAATCGTACAATATCATCACAAAAATCGCTCAATATGTTATATTTTTAGTAAAAACTAAACATACAGTATAAACAGTCTATACACCTCAAAATCGTACAGTGTGCACCAAAATTTTACGAGTAAACAGGTCTGATATACATAACAAATTTTAGAAATATTTTAGTTGGTATTTGTTTTATGTTAAAAGTTACAAAAACATCTATTAAAAATTAAACACCAATGTCACACTTTTTTTTGGCGCCAGTATCTACATTTTGTGGGCCAGAAGTTGGACATGTGTACCGGTGTTTGTTATAAACCAGTGCTGTGTGCCTTGCGCACCGCCTTCAACAATTATAATAAAGAAATATAAAACGGGGTCGGTTGGGATAACAGGAGTTTCCAATAATCCCCGAAACACAAAAACTGCGCTCGACCGTGATAAGACATAATTAAGTACTATTTTCATCATCATCATGTCCCTTAGTCCTTGAACCGTTGGGGCGCCACAGATGACATGTAAACTATCCTTCTCAATTCGTCTCTGTCTCATTGAATGTCAAATTGAGTGGTTAGAAGTGGGTTATGTTCCACTGAGAGGGGCAAGATGTGCATGTTATACAATGTAAACAATGAATACATTGGCTGGATAATAAGTAATAATAAGGTTTGAGGTATTTGTGAGAAGGACTAGAAGTAGAGATTTAGTGGTTTAGTAAATGTATAAGTGGACAAATAACATTGAGCTTAGGTGCAGGGTAATAAATGAGGTCATTCGTTAAATGCGGATGATATTGTACGGGGCAGTGGTTGAGTTAGGTTGATATTGTAGGGACAGTAGTTGAGTTAGGTTGATATTGTATAAGACTTTATATTACATCACTATTTCTCAAGGAAAACAAGATTTCTTGAGGAATACTGAGGTTCCAAGAAACCTGGTTTGAGACGCACTGAAGATGTGGTTTAGCTTAGTTGATTATGGTTTAGAATGTAAAGATGTGGGTGGCAGATTTGATTACACTGGTGAGTTAAAAGGAAGCAGTTGTGTTAGGTTTGATTTTTATGATTGAACTATTAGATTTGATGTTGATGACTAGGCTATTTGATTTGATGATTGAGCTATTAGATTTGATAATAAAGCTATAAGATTTGATAATAAAGCTGTTAGATTTAATGTTCAAGCTATTTGGGTTTACAAATTGCACCATAATGAGGTAGTTGAACAAAAGAAACTGAAACTCATGGGATGACTTGTTAAGCTTTTGAGCAACAGATGAGACGTATGTACAAAGTAATGGCAGTGAGCCAAGTTGAGACGCTTGTACAAAGTAATGGCAGTGAGCAAAGTTATCAGAGGTGCACAACCTTTGGGACACAACACTAAATACAAGCTCCAAGAAATCAAAGTCCATCTTCTTTGCTGATTACAAAAACAAGATGGGGCCTTATTTTGTTTGAAATAAACGGGACATCAAAATATTATAAGACAATCTTATTTTCTTGTGGGGGTTAGAGAAGTGCATTTTTACTGTGTACAAGTTGTAGCATTTTGACTTCTGTAATAGCTAAATGTAAGGGGAAAGTCAACACATAGAATGTTGACTATCTAACACCTGTATATCAAGTGACAATCCATTTTAAGACATATTAAAAGCTGCTGTAAATAAAACTATGTTGTTATAATGTCATTTAAATTAATCTTTAGTGAGACCACACAACAGAAACCAAATATCACAAATTTACACCTGGCTCAGTGTGTTGTTTACACCTGGTACACAGTGTTGTTTACACCTGGTAAAATACAGTGTTGTTTAAACATAATATACACAGTATAGTTTACACCTGGTAAAATACAGTGTCGTTAACACCTGGTACACACAGTATAGTTTATGCCTAATACACACAGTGTTACTTTGATCAGCATGGTTAACACCTGGTACACACAGTATAGTTTATGCCTAATACACACAGTGTTACTTTGATCAGCATGGTTAACACCTGGTACACACAGTATAGTTTATGCCTAATACACACAGTGTTACTTTGATCAGCATGGTTAACACCTGGTACACACAGTATAGTTTATGCCTAATACACACAGTGTTACTTTGATCAGCATGGTTAACACCTGGTACACACAGTATAGTTTATGCCTAATACACACAGTGTTACTTTGATCAGCATGGTTAACACCTGGTACACACAGTATAGTTTATACCTAATACACACAGTGTTACTTTGATCAGCATGGTTAACACCTGGTACACACAGTATAGTTTNTAGGGCTCAATTTTTTTTATCTAGGGGATATTTCTGTTACTTGCTGTACACACACGGATTGTTAATTGTGTACAAACAACTGACAGACGGTCGTTGAACGTACGTTATCCGACTCAACCATTTTTTTTTTTTTTTTTTTTTGTAAATTTTTAAATTTTTTCCATTTTTTTTTTTTTTTTTTTTTTTTTTTTAAATGTATATTATTGTTATTAAAAATTCTTGAATCTCTGTGTGAAAATTTTTATCCGAGGCAGACAATTACAAGCTTAATGAACCATTTTAAGATAAAAATATTGATATATCTTTTATATATACTGGCTGATGTCTAAAGAAATATAGTCTACTGGTTGTTTGAAACACCAAATTTCCCCAACTGTTTTTGTGTTAGTTCTATAATGTCCTATGTTAAATACTACAATTTCTAATTAGGGCTGAGCTAGGTACTGAGCCAGATAACCAGAATAATGCCAAGTATTATCACACCCGGCAGATACCCAGACCCAGCAAAAAAACAGAACCAGGTCAGGGTGTTTAAAAAAACAAAAAAAAACAATCTTCTCATTTTCTAAGATGTGATCCACCCAATGGGGAGTAATGAAAAGGGCATGTATAGAACCAGTATATCTTTCTTTACGTAATATTTTGTACATTTAACCTTTCAATAAATAATAATAGAAAACTTACTAGCAATTGGTGCGAAACTAAATGTAAGCTAAATGAGACTATGACAATATTAATTTACTTGCTGCATATTTTGCTTTAATTATATTTTAATTATTTAATTATTTGACCTAGCCTATGTTTGTTTATGGCCACAGGGACCTTCTATTTACAAATACTATTTCATTTCACATGCTGTCTGGCTGATGAAACTGAGTTGCCAATGTTTATGTGCATTTAATAAGTGAAGCATTTGACTTAACTGAAGGAAGGCTAGCAATGGTATTGCCATGATATAAATATTTACAATATTTAATATAAGTAATATGCTACACAGGTATCAGAAAAATGAAGACTGCTACCAACCAGAACCCTCAATCCTTCTTAATCATTCTATCTGCTTCCACCCACCCTCAATCCTCCTTAATCATTATATCTGCTTCCACCCACCCTCTATAGAACCCTCAATCCTTCTTAATCATTATATCTGCTTCCACCCACCCTCTATAGAACCATCAATCCTTCTTAATCATTATATCTGCTTCCACCCACCCTCTATAGAACCCTCAATCCTTCTTAATCATTCTATCTGCTTCCACCCACCCTCTATAGAACCCTCAATCCTTCTTAATCATTCCATCTGCTTCCACACACCCTCTATAGAACCCTCAATCCTTCTTAATCATTATATCTGCTTCCACCCACCCTCTATAGAACCCTCAATCCTTCTTAATCATTATATCTGCTTCCACCCACCCTCTATAGAACCCTTAATCCTTCTTAATCATTATATCTGCTTCCACCCACCCTCTATAGAACCCTCAATCCTTCTTAATCATTATATCTGCTTCCACCCACCCTCTATAGAACCCTCAATCCTTCTTAATCATTATATCTGCTTCCACCCACCCTCTATAGAACCCTCAATCCTTCTTAATCATTATATCTGCTTCCACCCACCCTCTATAGAACCCTCAATCCTTCTTAATCATTATATCTGCTTCCACCCACCCTCTATAGAACCCTCAATCCTTCTTAATCATTATATCTGCTTCCACCCACCCTCTATAGAACCCTCAATCCTTCTTAATCATTATATCTGCTTCCACCCACCCTCTATAGAACCCTCAATCCTTCTTAATCATTATATCTGCTTCCACCCACCCTCTATAGAACCCTCAATCCTTCTTAATCATTATATCTGCTTCCACCCACCCTCTATAGAACCCTCAATCCTTCTTAATCATTATATCTGCTTCCACCCACCCTCTATAGAACCCTCAATCCTTCTTAATCATTATATCTGCTTCCACCCACCCTCTATAGAACCCTCAATCCTTCTTAATCATTATATCTGCTTCCACCCACCCTCTATAGAACCCTCAATCCTTCTTAATCATTATATCTGCTTCCACCCACCCTCTATAGAACCCTCAATCCTTCTTAATCATTATATCTGCTTCCACCCACCCTCTATAGAACCCTCAATCCTTCTTAATCATTATATCTGCTTCCACCCACCCTCTATAGAACCCTCAATCCTTCTTAATCATTATATCTGCTTCCACCCACCCTCTATAGAACCCTCAATCCTTCTTAATCATTATATCTGCGTCCACCCACCCTCTATATAACCCTCAATCCTTCTTAATCATGATATCTGCTTCCACCCACCCTCTATAGAACCCTCAATCCTTCTTAATCATTATATCTGCTTCCACCCACCCTCTATAGAACCCTCAATCCTTCTTAATCATTCTATCTGCTTCCACCCACCCTCTATAGAACCCTCAATCCTTCTTAATCATTATATCTGCTTCCACCCACCCTCTATAGAACCCTCAATCCTTCTTAATCATTATATCTGCTTCCACCCACCCTCTATAGAACCCTCAATCCTTCTTAATCATTATATCTGCTTCCACCCACCCTCTATAGAACCATCAATCCTTCTTAATCATTATATCTGCATCCACCCACCCTCAATCCTTCTTAATCATTGTATCTGCTTCCACCCACCCTCAATCCTTCTTAATCATTATATCTGCTTCCACCCACCCTCAATCCTTTTTAATCATTGTGTCTGCTTCCACCCACCCTCAATCCTTCTTAATCATTATATCTGCTTCCACCCACCCTCAATCCTTCTTAATCATTGTATTTGCTTCCACCCACCCTCAATCCTTCTTAATCTTCATATCTGCTTCCATCCACCCTCTATAGAACCCTCAATCCTTCTTAATCATTATATCTGCTTCCACCCACCCTCTATAGAACCCTCAATCCTTCTTAATCATTATATCTGCTTCCACCCACCCTCTATACAATTACAGTACCAACACCTTTTTTTTAATCCACAAAAAAACTCTGCCCCCCCCCCCTTTTCTCAACACCTGTTGGTCAATTTCAATGTATAATTCTGGTGTGGTACGCCTCTGGGTTAGGATTATAGTATTAAGCTATTAGTGTATTGAAGTCTTTAACTTTGATTCCTTTGTCATGCACTTTTCAATTCTCCCCCATTGGGTGGAAAACATTCTATTTATAGAAAATCACAAGATAACTTTTTTTCTTTTTTTTTGTAACACTATGTGAGTGTATTTTCTAAAAATACTCGGACCAGGGCCAGGTGTACAAAAACTGCACCAGGCTCAGCCCATTTTTTTAAGGTGTAGATCAGCATATGAACGTGTGCATTTAAGCGCAAAGATTCTGCACACAGAGATTGCCATTGTTAAACTGTGTATGTTGTGTGTTTGTGTGGGTGTGTGTTGGGTGGGGGGGGGGGGGGGGGGGGTTAGGTGCTAATCAAAGAAACACTGCAGACATTTGACTGGTGCTGCCATCTGATGGACAGTCACGGAAAACTTAACCCAACATTTGACATGACACAGGACTGGACTCTGCCTAGAAGACAAAAACCAGATGGAGCATGTTGTCAGATCTAGTATTTGTTCTATGCACATCAATGATGCTTGAGTCTAAACCCAGATTCGTAGACTGGGACTTCTCAGCTGAATTTCCCCTCTAAGAGGCAAACATGCATTTTATCCAAACAAATTTAAAAATCACTTTGTATACGCATAGGTTTGAAAACAACCGTTTTTTTCATATACATATATACATAAACACCAGCAATATACATACTATTGACACCAATGCTTGTAGCTGCTAATATACAATATTACATTTTCTAGCAGAATGAATTTGATGTAAGACATTGAGACAAGTTAATGAACTCAGGCAAAATCCTCAACCTTGAACCTCTTCTTCATGATGTTACCATAACTGTCCTCTGCCATAATGGTGACGGTGCTGATCTCTGGTGACATGTTGGTTACCTTTGACCTTCGCAATACAAATTCTGTGGGGGGTGCGGGGTTCAAAAACTCCCAGTGATGAAATATGGAGCCCTCAGGGTCAGTACGCAGCTCAATGATGCGAAGTCCAGATGGACTTTTGATGAGAGCTCTGGAAACAGTGATTGAAGATTTAAAGAGTCTTTGAAAGGAGAATTCGCGTAAGGTTTTCATCAGAGAGTACTTGGTAAGGTTATCAGGGAGTACTTGGTAAGGTTTTCAGAGAGTGCTTGGTAAGGTTTTCAGAGTACTTGTTAAGGCTTTCAGAGAGTACTTGGTAAGGTTTTCAGAGAGTACTTGGTAAGGTTTTCAGGGAGTACTTGGTAAGGTTTTCAGAGAGTACTTGGTAAGGTTTTCAGAGAGTACTTGGTAAGGTTTTTAGAGAGTACTTGGTAAGGTTTTCAGGGAGTACATGGTAAGGTTTTCAGAGAGTACTTGGTAAGGTTTTCAGGGAGTGTCTGGAAAGTTTTTCAGTGAGTACTTGAAAAGTTTTCAGTGAGTACTTGGCAAGGGTTTCAAGGAGTACTTGCAAGGTTTTCAGGATGTACTATGCAAGTTATTCAAGGAGTGCTGGGCAAGGTAATGTGGACTCACAGAAAACAGTAAGAAAAAAGATAAAATGTTATTTTAATGAATTCTTGAGTAGTTTCAATGTTAGACATATGCCAGGCTGCCATGCTGTCATAATAGCTAAATGCTGAAGGCAAATTACAGAGATTTAAAATCCCTATTACAAAGCTTTTCAGTAACTGAGAGATGATGAACTTTCTACTCACCCTTGTAATGTAGGGATTTTTCTGGGGTCGTTGGGATCTTGTCTGTTAAACCACCTGTGAACAGAAATAGTTTCCCAAAAAGTTCTTAAGTCTCGTCTACTCCCTTGACACAAGTTAAATGAGCTGAACATTAACATTGACAGAGACATTTGCAGTGTTGTGTGACAAACCAAACTGAATGAGATGTTATGTTGTGTGTTGGTATGCAATCTGCTAGTTCTTATTATCATAATCAGTGAATGCATGCCTTAGTAGGTTAACTCGGTGAAGCCATTTTATTCTGCATAGAGCACTATAAAATCAATAGATATTATATGCATTAATCCTAGGTATAGACAAGGCTGAAACACTTGTGACAGCACAGTACAACTGCTGAGATATATATAAGACTTACTTGTGAAAACGCAGTACAACTGCCGATGATCTGTACCAGTGAGCACCTGAGTCAACAAAACTGACTTCTGACGTGATAGTCAAATCGGAGGAGGAAGGTGGGTCTTCGGGGGAGTTTGGGAGGGTGGAGGGTCCTGGCGAGGTTGGTGACAAGGATGAAGATGATCCTATTGAGGCTAATGACACGGATGATGGTCTGCGATCTGGAAGGAGATACGGATAGTGTTAACATTTAGTGGAAGTATCTTAGACACTCTTTAAAGATATCCAACGCAGAGTACGGACAATTTAATCCATTTAATGCAACAGCTGAACTTCAATGCATTATCCTACTATCCAATGTCTTATTGATGGATAATATAATCTGTTATCCGACATGGGAATGAATTGTTCCACAGAATATATAAACCATGACCCACATAATTATCTAAGTTTTTATTTCTTAGCCCTGCTCTCAGATAAATAATGTTCCCTGCCACCAGCTAAACCATGTTCCCTGCCTACAGCTATACCATGTTCCCTGCCCCAGATAAAAAAATGTCCAGCCCCCAGCTATACCATGTACCTTACCCCTCAGGTATACCATATTCCCTGCCTCATGCCATGTTCCCTGCCCACAGTTAAACCATGTTCATTTTCCCAGGTATATCATGTTTCCTGAACCAGCTTAATGATGTTCCCTATCATCAGGTATACCATGTGCCTTGGCCCCAGGTATACCTTTTTGTCCCCTTATTAGGTTGCAATCAGAGCATTCTGCTGACCTGGTTACACTGGAACCCCCAAATAGTGTCAGAATAGTAATTTGTCATCTCAAAAATCAAACAACACTGTATTGAGAAAGTAAATAAACAAAGACACAGTGCATCCCATGTCAAAGAAATGGCACTCCTCACATTAGATGACTGACTATATATTTACCTACAGTGCAATATTGAAGATAAAAAAGTGCCCAACTTTTGCCGTAAGGTCTCAGCGTATAGTCGTAAAAGACATCTCAAAATCGTACATTTTACTCCAAAATGGTAAGAGTAAACAGGTCTGTACCATGTTCTCTGCCCCAGCTATATCATGTTTCCTGCCTCTGGTACATCCTGTGTGTTCCCTGCCATGTTCTACGCCCTGGGTATGCCACTGTCCTCATTCATCCTAGACCCTTACCTATTGAGCTCTTACTGGTCAAATCCTTGGCTACCACTGTCTCCCCTTCAAGGATAGTTTGTCGAGTCTCGCTGCCGTCATAGTTTTTCACAGAGAATGTCATGGTGGTCGGTGCAGACCATTGCTTGAAGCCTGGCTCTACACTGACCACAAGTGGAGGTGGGGCGATGTAGACTCTCTCACTACTGGCCAGGATCTGCAAGACACCAGGCTGTGATTAGAATTCTATGTTATAGAACAAACACCGGTTGAGCTACAAGAGTTTTTATAGCAGCACAACCGCTGTATAGACACTCCGTCAACCTTACAACAAACTCAGCACAACGGCTGTACAGACACTCCGTCAATCTTACAACAAAGTCATAGGAAAATAAGAAATGCAACTTTAAGAAATGTACAAATATTTACCAACTGAGAAAATATCTTTCTCATAGTTTTAAATGTTTCATTTAACACTATGCTTGCTTGTGTGATACCGGTACTTTTAAAAGATAGACCCCATAGTCTCTCTAGTATAAAATAAATATTCAGAAATATTTGCTATCATTTATGTTTAAGATTTAACAAGGTGATTTTATCTCTAAGACATTTGCTGAGAAGTTATAGATCATCAAGACTATCAACCTGTACAGTATACACATGTACACATCTAATGACATGGAATATTAGCGGTATAATAGAGTATATAAACATATATTTTATACACACATACACATCTAATGACATGGAATTTTTGCGGTATGACAGAGTATATTAACATTTAGTGTATACACACATACACATCTTATGACGTGGAATATCAGTGGTATAAGAAAGTATATTTACATTTAGTGTATACACATGTACACATCTTATGACATGGATATCAGTGGTATAAGAAAGTATATTTACATTTAGTGTATGCACATGTACATATCTGATGACATGGAATATTAGTGGTATGAGAAAGTATATTTACATTTAGTGTATACACACGTACACATCTGATGACATGGAATATTAGTGGTATGAGAGTATATTTACACTTAATTCATACACACATACACATCTTATGACATGGAATATCAGTGGTATAAAAAAGTATATTTACATTTAGTGTATACACATGTACACATCTGATGACATGGAATATTAGTGGTATGAGCAGTCTATTTACATTTATCGCACGTACCTGTTTGTTAGGGCTGCCATAACATATATCCGTCTGCCTCTTCAAGGCAGCACTCTGGGGACTGATGGCCACAGCACCTACACTAGCACCATGTCCATCACAGCTACTGCCTGCTAGATCAAAAAACAACATCTCAGCTCAAATCAATAAGGACAGAGATTTTTTTTTTTTTAAATATACATATGTCTAGCCAGAGTTTGTGATGTAATATGTGGAGGACTGCATTCGGGTAGCAATAAGAAATACACACAGGGTTAGGCAAAAACCTGAAGAAGTTTTTTTTTTAACATCCAGATTGCTACTGTGATATTGAATGCTGCTTATTGTGAATACCAGTCCACCCATTGCTATGGAATATTGCTACCTAAAGAAGATGAGTCATCAATGCTGCTAGTGGACGGTGTCCGGGAAACTTCAGAGTTGCTGCTGCCACCACTGTTGTAGCGCTGACGATGTCGGTCCGACCTATGCTGGTGGCGACCTTTACGCTTCCGTTGGACGGTGAACACCTATGGAGAGACATTCAAACCTGATTAGACTTACTTCCTAATCAGATTTTTTCTAATTATATGCTACTTTTAAACATCAATCTTCTAATCGATCAAAGCCAGTTCTACAATTTCTTAGTTGAATATCTTTTCAGAGCTTTCCTAAACACCTGTAACGTAATTTGAGAAGCACAGATCTACATCATAGTTTAAATCTGTACTGACCTTTACAATATAGGAACCATAAATAATTATCTAAGTCAAATAGTTTATCACTACTAATTGTCTAAGTCAAATAGTTCATCAAAAATAATTGTCTAAGTCTAATAGTTCACCACAACTACGTGTCTAAGTCAAATAGTTCACCACAAATTATTGTCTAAGTCAAATAGTGCATCACAAATAAATGTCTGTCAAATAGTTCATCAAAAGTAATTGACTAAGTCAAATAGTTCATTACAAATAATTGTCCAAGTCTAATAGTTCATTACAAATAATTGTCCAAGTCTAATGTTCATTACAAATAATTGTCCAAGTCAAATATTTCATCAAAACTAATTGTCTAAGTCAAATAGTTTTAACAAAAAAGGATTATTTGACACAGTGCAAGGTAAGATGACTGAAAAGACCCTGGAAGCCCCCACCCCCATATCCCCCTACCTTGTGGAGATCATCAAAACCTCGGGCCATAATTCCTGAAGGAGTATGAGCCAAGTCAAATGTATGCCCTAGTTCATGAAGTGATGCGCCCAAGCCAGTGGCATAGTTGGCCCAGTAATACTCCCTGGACAACATTGAAAAAAGCAGTCATTAAATGCATTATTCACCAACAAGTCCAACCATTAGACATGTCAAACACAGGGAACGTCAAGGCTTGTACTTGGCCAAAAACAAAATTCCACTAAAATTCTTCTCGCCACACACAAAAATGATGATACATTGAATTGTAAAATAAATTCAGCAGAAGCATTTTAACTTGATGACAACGTTCACAGCAAAAGTTTTAACGTAATAGACTGAGAACAGGTCCTATTTTGTACAGATCAGACAACCTGTCTCCAAACACCCAATGGGCTGCCTCCCACACACACATAACATCTTAACATTCCAAAAAGGTTGTTTGTTTGTTTTTTGGTTTTTTTTGTTGTTTTTTTTTGTACGTTTTATGTAAATGTAGAATTACTATTAGAGCCTTTGATGTAACATTGCACACTGATTTGGAGAGTACTTATGTAGCTCTATTTCTTTAATGAGAGGAATTTTGTCAGGGGAATGTTTAGTCGAATGTGTATGTATTTAGTAGAATGTATATGTATTTAGTAGAATGTATATGTATTTAGTAGAATGTATATGTATTTAGTAGAATGTATATGTATTTAGTAGAATGTATATGTATTTAGTAGAATGTATATGTATTTAGTAGAATGTATATGTATTTAGTAGAATGTAAATGTATTTAGTAGAATGTGTACCTGTATGTATTTAGTAGAATGTATATGTATTTAGTAGAATGTGTACCGGTAGGTATTTAGTAGAATGTGTATTTATTTAGTAGATGGTGTTTGTATTTAGTAGAATGTGTATGTATTTAGTAGAATGTGTATGTATTTAGTGAAATGTGTATGTATTTAGTCAAATCTGTAGGTATTTAGTAGAATGTGTTTGTATTTAGTCAAATGTGTATGTATTTAGTCAAATGTGTATGTATTTGGTCAAATGTGTATGTATTTGGTCAAATGTGTATGTATTTAGTAGAATGTGTATGTATTTAGTCAAATGAGTATGTATTTAGTCAAATATGTATGTATTTGGTAGAATGTGTTTGTATTTAGTCAAATGTGTATGTATTTGGTCAAATATGTATGTATTTAGTAGAATGTGTATGTATTTAGTCAAATGTGTATGTATTTAGTCAAATCTGTAGGTATTTAGTAGAATGTGTTTGTATTTAGTCAAATGTGTATGTATTTAGTCAAATGTGTATGTATTTGGTCAAATGTGTATGTATTTGGTCAAATGTGTATGTATTTAGTCAAATGTGTATGTATTTAGTCAAATGTGTATGTATTTAGTCAAATGTGTATGTATTTAGTCAAATATGTATGTATTTAGTAGAATGTGTTTGTATTTAGTCAAATGTGTATGTATTTAGTCAAATATGTATGTATTTGGTCAAATGTGTATGTATTTAGTCAAATGTGTATGTATTTGGTCTAATGTGTATGTATTTGGTCAAATGTGTATGTATTTAGTCAAATATGTATGTATTTAGTCAAATGTGTATGTATTTAGTCAAATATGTATGTATTTAGTCAAATGTGTATGTATTTAGTCAAATATGTATGTATTTAGTCAAATGTGTATGTATTTGGTCAAATATGTATGTATTTAGTAGAATGTGTTTGTATTTGGTCAAATATGTATGTATTTGGTCAAATGTGTATGTATTTAGTCAAATATGTATGTATTTAGTCAAATGTGTATGTATTTAGTCAAATATGTATGTATTTAGTCAAATGTGTATGTATTTAGTCAAATATGTATGTATTTGGTCAAATGTGTATGTATTTAGTCAAATATGTATGTATTTAGTCAAATGTGTATGTATTTAGTCAAATGTGTATGTATTTGGTCAAATATGTATGTATTTAGTCAAATGTGTATGTATTTAGTCAAATGTGTATGTATTTAGTAGAATGTGTTTGTATTTGGTCAAATATGTATGTATTTGGTCAAATGTGTATGTATTTAGTCAAATGTGTATGTATTTAGTCAAATATGTATGTATTTAGTCAAATGTGTATGTATTTAGTCAAATATGTATGTATTTAGTCAAATGTGTATGTATTTAGTCAAATATGTATGTATTTAGTCAAATGTGTATGTATTTAGTCAAATATGTATGTATTTAGTCAAATGTGTATGTATTTAGTCAAATATGTATGTATTTGGTCAAATGTGTATGTATTTAGTCAAATGTGTATGTATTTAGTCAAATGTGTATGTATTTAGTCAAATGTGTATGTATTTGGTCAAATATGTATGTATTTAGTCAAATGTGTATGTATTTAGTCAAATGTGTATGTATTTGGTCAAATATGTATGTATTTAGTCAAATGTGTATGTATTTAGTCAAATGTGTATGTATTTAGTCAAATATGTATGTATTTAGTCAAATGTGTATGTATTTAGTCAAATATGTATGTATTTAGTAGAATGTGTTTGTATTTAGTCAAATGTGTATGTATTTAGTCAAATATGTATGTATTTAGTCAAATGTGTATGTATTTAGTCAAATGTGTATGTATTTGGTCAAATATGTATGTATTTAGTCAAATGTGTATGTATTTGGTCAAATGTGTATGTATTTAGACAAATGTGTATGTATTTGGTCAAATGTGTATGTATTTAGTCAAATATGTATGTATTGGTCAAATGTGTATCATACTGGATGTGTTTAGTAGAATGGTCGCGAAACTTGTACCAGGCCACAAAAGTAAAAATAAAGGGTCACGAATTATCATTTTTATTATTTTTAAATTAGCTAGATGTTTGTTTAAGGGCTGGGTTATTTTTTCCACTTACAAAACTGCAAAGGAAAAGAGCAAAATTGTAACGTTAAATAAGTCCATGCGAGACTAATGTTTTGCTGTCGTATACTTCGCTGATAATGAGCCCTAAACTAATGTTTTACCCGCCTCAGCCCGCATACACTCCCATTCAAAGCTGAAAGAAAGTGATATGGAGTGCATTGTTTTCTTTTGTGTTAATTGGGGGAGAGGCGGCTAGATTGAGATGACATTGTTAGAGCACGCCTGGTCAGAGGGTAAGGTTGAAGGGCGAGGTCGGAGCGTGACGCTAGATTAAGATGACATTGTTAGAGCACGCCAGGTTAGACGGTACGGTTAAAGAGCGATGTCGGAGCGTGGCGCTAGATTAAGATGACATTGTTAGAGCACGCCAGGTTAGAGGGTACGGTTAAAGAGCGATGTCGGAGCGTGGCGCTAGATTAGGATGACATTGTTAGAGCACGCCAGGTTAGAGGGTACGGTTAAAGAGCGATGTCGGAGCGTGGCGCTAGATTAAGATGACATTGTTAGAGCACGCCAGGTTAGACGGTACGGTTAAAGAGCGATGTCGGAGCGTGGCGCTAGATTAGGATGACATTGTTAGAGCACGCCAGGTTAAAGGCTGAAGGGCGAGGTCGGAGCTGAGCTATTTTCTTATTTGAATAGGTCAAAGCAAACAAGAAGAGGACAGTGGTTTGAGGTGTAAAAGGTGATGAGTGTTTTCGTTAGGATATTTCCCCCTGCAAGGAAACAGGAAGATGGGGGGCACCTCTGTTGAGCAACAGCTGGACGCTCGACGGTGGTTTGTTCTTTTCCCGTATTTGTCCAGGGATGCACGGGCGAACAGTCAAGTGGCCCGAAGTTACGCTGTTGGATTACTGCCGAGTTCCATCCACATTTGAGAATGTGAAAGCTATTGGTGCCACAAATAAGGCTGAGGGGCAACGGGACGAGATGTTATGTGACGGCGAAATTGTTTAACCAATTCAAATTAGTATCTCATATCTTAAATAAAAGTTTTAAAACAACATTATTATTTAATAACAATGTTAAAAAAATTAAGGATTTGTATAAACATTTACATTTAAATTAGCATCTCTTCTTTTATCTTCCGAATTAGTGTAAAACGATGAAAGACTTAATTTGGTCGTGCAGCAAATTGCAGCCCGGCATTTTGGATTCTATTTTAAATTCTGGAGAGGGGCTCACTGAGGCCTCTCCCCACTACTCCCTCCCCAATTTTGTTGGGGAGCCTTGGCGCAATCGATTTCTGCTTCACCCCCCCCCCTTTACACACACAAAATCACACTGAGATGACCGGCATCTTATTATCTGAAAGAAAAGCAATGCAGATGGGTAAGGTAATTGCAGCCCGGCATTTTGGATTCTATTTTAAATTCTGGAGAGGGGCTCACTGAGGCCCCCCCCCACTACCCCCCCCCCAATTTTGTTGGGGAGCCTTGGCGCAATCGATTTCTGCTTCACCCCCCCCCCCCTTTACACACACAAAATCACACTGAGATGACCGGCATCTTATTATCTGAAAGAAAAGCAATGCAGATGGGTAAGGGAGGCAATAGGGACAAAGGCTACAACTTCGATCTAACAAAAAAAGTAACACGTTTTTCTACCAAACTGAATTTTCTAGTCAACAGGATAACAAGTCATAATAAGTCATAACAAGTCATAATAAGTCATAACAAGTCATAATAAGTCATAACAAGTCATAACAAGTCATAACAAGTCATAACAAGTCATAACAAGTCATAATAAGTCATAATAAGTCATAACAAGTCATAACAAGTCATAACAAGTCATAACAAGTCATAACAACTCATAACAAGTCATAATAAGTCATAACAAGTCATAACAAGTCATAACAAGTCATAACAAGTCATAATAAGTCATAACAAGTCATAACAAGTCATAACAAGTCATAATAAGTCATAACAAGTCATAACAAGTCATAATAAGTCATAACAAGTCATAACAAGTCATAACAAGTCATAATAAGTCATAACAAGTCATAACAAGTCATAACAAGTCATAACAAGTCATAATAAGTCATAACAAGTCATAACAAGTCATAATAAGTCATAACAAGTCATAACAAGTCATAACAAGTCATAATAAGTCATAACAAGTCATAATAAGTCATAATAAGTCATAACATGTCATAATAAGTCATAATAAGTCATAACAAGTCATAACAAGTCATAATAAGTCATAACAAGTCATAACAAGTCATAATAAGTCATAATAAGTCATAACAAGTCATAAGTCATAATAAGTCATAACAAGTCATAACAAGTCATAATAAGTCATAATAAGTCATAACAAGTCATAATAAGTCATAATAAGTCATAAGTCGTCCTATGAATAAATGTACCAGATTTCTTGACATTTTTGTTTGAGTGCATACGTTATTCTTTTGAAACATGTACAAACTGTATGGACTTTCACAACTGTTTTATGTTAGTGGGTCACGATATGTTAGTGGGTCACGATATGTTAGTGGGTCACGAAGGGAACGTATAAAAATAACGTGCCACGATTTTAAACCAAAAATTTTTTTTAAAAATTGGTGCAATGCTGAGCTCTACATTTCGTGTTTGCTGGGATTATAAAGTTTTCATCATCATTAAAAGGGCAGCTACCTCTTCCGCAGGTGACAACATTCATTCAGACAGAGAAACCAAGATGTGCAGCAAAATTTAAAGAATCTCATTTACAATCTATTTGAACTTACCAGAGGATTGGGGAGGGCCATATGAACTAATGTACAACAAAATATACAAGGTCTCTGAACTAACCGGAGGATTGGGGAGGGCCATATGAACTAATGTACAACAAAATATACAAGGTCTCTGAACTAACCAGAGGATTGGGGAGGGCAATATGAACTCATGTACAACAAAATATACAAGGTCTCTGAACTAACCGGAGGGTTGGGGAGGGCCATATGAACTCATGTACAACAAAATATACAAGGTCTCTGAACTAACCAGAGGATTGGGGAGGGCCATATGAACTAATGTACAACAAAATATACAAGGTCTCTGAACTAACCAGAGGATTGGGGAGGGCAATATGAACTCATGTACAACAAAATATACAAGGTCTCTGAACTAACCGGAGGGTTGGGGAGGGCCATATGAACTCATGTACAACAAAATATACAAGGTCTCTGAACTAACCAGAGGATTGGGGAGGGCCATATGAACTCATGTACAACAAAATATACAAGGTCTCTGAACTAACCAGAGGATTGGGGAGGGCCATATGAACTCATGTACAACAAAATATACAAGGTCTCTGAACTAACCAGAGGATTGGGGAGGGCCATATGAACTCATGTACAACAAAATATACAAGGTCTCTGAACTAACCAGAGGATTGGGGAGGGCCATATGAACTCATGTACAACAAAATATACAAGGTCTCTGAACTAACCAGAGGATTGGGGAGGGCAATATGAACTCGTGTACAACAAAATATACAAGGTCTCTGAACTAACCGGAGGATTGGGGAGGGCCATATGAACTCATGTACAACAAAATATACAAGGTCTCTGAACTAACCGGAGGGTTGGGGAGTGTCATGGTATTGAGGAATATTGCCTCACCTTTCATCCCGATTGGTATCATCCATGGATTAGAGTGGGACGAGTGTCTCCCCAACACCTAAATCAATTCGGCCGCTTGGACTAAAGTCAATTTCTGGTGCTGACCAAAATGGGTGATTTGCAAGAAGCAGTAACCAAGTCCAGTAGAACCGGCGGCCAGGAATCAGGCTTCATACGACTACGTGCCTTCCCATGGTAATTGCCCACTTGAGTGTAACTTTGATGATCCCAAAAGACTGGGGGCCCGTCTATCCGCTCGGCCGTCTATCCGCTCGGGTCATGTGACCGTAATACCAGTGGGATCAATAAGAGATCGCCATGTTCGGTGCCACGTCACGTCCCGAGAATTAGGTCACGGCACAATTATTGTACAGACGTGACCAGGTTAACAGCACGGGCCGGCTAACTCATGGGACCGTCTTTGATGTCAAGGTGGAGTCAGCCAATCAGGCGGGAATTGGAACAACTCAACTAGAGATGTCTAACAATGGGTGGTAGGACTTGATTTGTTATGATAAAGGGGTATAAAATGGTGGTTGTTGGAGACTAGGGTTGGTGACATGGAGGGGTATAAAATGGTGGTTGTTGGAGACTTGGGTTGGTGATTTGAAAGGGTATCGAATTCGAATAGTGGTTCTTGGAGACTAATTTGGTGAGATGGAGGGATATAATGGTGGTTGTTGAAGACTAGGTTTGGTGAGATGGAGGGATATAATGGTGGTTGTTGAAGACTAGGTTTGGTGAGATGGAGGGATATAATGGTGGTTGTTGAAGACTAGGGTTGGTGAGATGGAGGGATATAATGGTGGTTGTTGAAGACTAGGGTTGGTGAGATGGAGGGATATAATGGTGGTTGTTGAAGACTAGGGTTGGTGAGATGGAGGGATATAATGGTGGTTGTTGAAGACTAGGTTTGGTGAGATGGAGGGATATAATGGTGGTTGTTGAAGACTAGGGTTGGTGAGATGGAGGGATATAATGGTGGTTTTTGGAGACTAGGGTTGGTGAGATGGAGGGATATAATGGTGGTTTTTGGAGACTAGGGTTGGTGAGATGGAGGGATATAATGGTGGTTTTTGGAGACTAGGTTTGGTGAGATGGAGGGATATAATGGTGGTTTTTGGAGACTAAGTTGGTGATATGGAGGGTATAAAATGGTGGTTGTTGGAGACTAGGTTTGGTGAGATGGAGGTTATATTATGTTGGTTGTTAGAGACTAGGGTTGGTGATATGGAGGGGTATCAAATGGTGGTTGGTGGAGACAAGCTACTTGAGATCTCTACCAGGTTACTTGATATCTCTACCAGGTTACTTGATATCTCTACCAGGTTACTTGAGATCTCTACCATGTTACTTGAGATCTCTAACAGGTTACTTGATATCTCTACAAGGTTACTTGATATCTCTACAAGGTTACTTGAGATCTCTACCAGGTTACTTGAGATCTCTACCAGGTGACTTGAGATCTCTACCAGGTTACTTGAGATCTCTACCAGCCTATTTGAGATCTCTACTAGCCAATTTGAGATCTCTACCAGGTTACTTGAGATCTCTACCAGGTTACTTGAGATCTCTACCAGGTGACTTGAGATCTCTACCAGCCTATTTGAGATCTCTACCAGCCTATTTGAGATCTCTACTAGCCAATTTGAGATCTCTACCAGGTTACTTGATATCTCTACCAGGTTACTTGAGATCTCTACCAGGTTACTTGAGATCTCTACCAGCCTATTTGAGGTCTCTACCATGTTACTTGAGATCTCTAACAGGTTACTTGATATCTCTACAAGGTTACTTGAGATCTCTACCAGGTTACTTGAGATCTCTACCAAGTGACTTGAGATCTCTACCAGGTTACTTGAGATCTCTACCAGCCTATTTGAGATCTCTACTAGCCAATTTGAGATCTCTACCAGGTTACTTGAGATCTCTACCAGGTTACTTGATATCTCTACCAGGTTACTTGAGATCTCTACCAGGTTACTTGAGATTTCTACCAGCCTATTTGAGATCTCTAACAGGTTACTTGATATCTCTACAAGGTTACTTGAGATCTCTACCAGGCTACTTGAGATCTCTACCAGCCTATTTGAGGTCTCTACCATGTTACTTGAGATCTCTAACAGGTTACTTGAGATCTCTACCAGCCTATTTGAGATCTCTACTAGCCAATTTGAGATCTCTACCAGGTTACTTAAGATCTCTACCAGGTTACTTGAGATCTCTACCAGGTTACTTGAGATCTCTACCAGGTTACTTGAGATTTCTACCAGCCTATTTGAGATCTCTACCAGGTTACTTGAGATCTCTACCAGGCTACTTGAGATCTCTACCAGGCTACTTGAGATCTCTACCAGGTTACTTGAGATCTCTACCATGTTATTTGAGATCTCTACCAGGTTACTTGATATCTCTACCAGGTTACTTGAGATCTATACCAGGCTACTTGAGATCTCTACTAGCCAATTTGAGATCTCTACCAGGTTACTTGAGATCTCTACCAGGTTACTTGAGATCTCTACCAGGCTACTTGAGATCTCTACCAGGTTACTTGAGATCTCTACCAGGTTACTTGAGATCTCTACCAGGTTACTTGAGATCTCTACCAGGTTACTTGAGATCTCTACCAGGTTACTTGAGATCTCTACCAGGTTACTTGATATCTCTACCAGGTTACTTGAGCTCTCTACAGGTTACAAAACAGTGGATGTTTCAGATACAAATCAGTGGATGTTTCAGATACAAAACAGTGGATGTTTCAGATACAAAACAGTGGATGTTTCAGATACAAAACAGTAGATGTTTCAGAAACAAAACAGTGGATGTTTCAGATACAAAACAGTGGATGTTTCAGATACAAAACAGTGGATGTTTCAGATACAAAACAGTGGATGTTGTGGATGAAATCCTTTTGGGGCTTTTTGTCTTATTAAATGCAACCCTCCCTATATATTTGTTTATTATGTGGATCTCGGATACACTTGGGGCACCTCAATAACATATACTTTAAGATATTGAACAAAAATCAGAGGTCTACTTAAGTAAATTAGTGCAGTTGTTTCCCAGAACGTGGCTCGCCGTGCCCATAAGAGCAGCGGCTTTCCAAAATGGGCGCTGTAAAATATGGCAAGTTGATCAAGATGATCATTTGATGTTCAATCTCATGTTATTGGATGCAACATCTAGCAAACTTGGTGCAAACCAGTAACACAGTAATAATCTATAAGAGAAGCCATTACAAACGGCTACTAGATGGCCATTTCATTATGCTTGAAGCTGCCAGTGAGATTTTTATCATTTGTGTCCTTGTTTTGAGTCAATCTATTGTTAACTTGACATTCTTTAGCAAATTAAACAAAATATTACCAGAAAAAAAAAGGTAAGGGAAAAAAAATTACCCTGTGAAATGATGATTCAACTAGGAATACTGGGAGTATAAAATTCTTTTAAGTGTTAATTATAAAATATTGATCAGTCACTACCCACCCCATTAGTTTCGCACCAGTCTCTCAATTTCTTGGCAAAATACTGGTTGAGGGTCAACTTCACTTGGCAAAAGGTTTCAAGTAGCCACTGCATTTAAAAGGTTTAAGACCCCCCTCCCCCAACCACCACCACCCCATTAAAAGCCATAAAGTTTAAGCTGACTTCATTTGTTCAACTTTAAACAAAAGTACAGGGCACACTCATTGGCAAATAGCAGGCACAAGGCAATGTATATTGACACAACCGTCCACATCAGGGTGGACAGACTTTCAAAAATACTTGACATTTAAGCAAACTCTTCCCCAGGACATCTCTTCATTGTGAGGAAAATGACTGAACGACATGGTTAACATTGGCATTTGTCAATAAGTCATCAGTTGAACTGTTAACAGCAACATTAACATTTGCAAACATGTCATCAGCAAATAGAGATTTGTCCAATTTGGAGTTGATATCAAAACCATTTTAGAAGAAGATGACTGTGGTAAATGATCTGACTGTGTACACGAGCATCCCAAGCAACTCTTCATTTTGACTTTTAAGTTCAGTAATCAAAAGTAAAAATATAACGAAAATCAAGATTTTGTGAATACTAATAAAACAATTGTAGAAATTGACTGTTGTGGAGCCCCTGAAACCCATTCATGGAACCCTTGGGGTTAAGAAACCCTGCACCTGAAACCCATTCATGGAACCCTTGGGGTTAAGAAACCCTGCCCCTGAAACCCATTCATGGAACCCTTGGGGTTAAGAAACCCTGCCCCTGAAACCCATTCATGCAACCCTTGGGGTTAAGAAACCCTGCCCCTGAAACCCATTCATGCAACCCTTGGGGTTAAGAAACCCTGCCCCTGAAACCCATTCATGCAACCCTTGGGGTTAAGAAGCCCTGCCCCTGAAACCCATTCATGCAACCCTTGGGGTTAAGAAACCCTGCCCCTGAAACCCATTCATGGAACCCTTGGGGTTAAGAAACCCTGCCCCTGAAACCCATTCCTGGAACCCTTGGGGTTAAGAAACCCTGCCCCTGAAACCCATTCATGCACCTCTTAGGGATAAGAGTCCTGCCCCTGTTGGTTGAGAAGCCCTGCCCTAGGTCTGGAGTGGATGACACAGATTAAATCAGACATTGCTCACCTGTAGGCACTGTCATCCATGAACTTTCTTCTGTCCATTCTCTTTCTATTGGTCAGGCAGTGGTTAAACTTGGCCAGACTGTCAGCCCAGGTGTGAAGGTTACCTGTACCAAACAGGGCCAGGCCACCTCCACCTGTGCAATATATGACATAATAAAACCAGCTTGTTTTGGAATGATTAAAACAATGGTATTCATATTTGATTAGACACCAAAATAAAGTAATTTTGCGATGATTTATTTTATAATAAAGCAAAAGTCTGCTGTCAGTGATGTTCACCAAATTTTGGGAGTGTCTGTACCCCTAAATTCTTATAGGCATCCATACAATTTTAGATAAGTGTTAGTTATATCTAAAATTGTATAGATTCTAATTAGAATTAATTAATATCACACCTAGTGCTGTGTGCTCTAAGCTTTCATTAATATCCTACCTTGTAGTGAGTTTCCTAACATTTCTGTAATATCTCACCCAGTGCTGTGTGCTCTAAGCTTTCATTAATATCCTACCTTGTAGTGAGTTTCCTAACATTTCTGTAATATCTCACCCAGTGTTGTGTGCTCTAAGCTTTCATTAATATCCTACCTTGTAGTGAGTTTCCTAACATTTCTGTAATATCTCACCCAGTGCTGTGTGCTCTAAGCTTTCATTAATATCCTACCTTGTAGTGAGTTTCCTAACATTTCTGTAATATCTCACCCAGTGTTGTGTGCTCTAAGCTTTCATTAATATCCTACCTTGTAGTGAGTTTCCTAACATTTCTGTAATATCTCACCCAGTGCTGTGTGCTCTAAGCTTTCATTAATATCCTACCTTGTAGTGAGTTTCCTAACATTTCTGTAATATCTCACCCAGTGTTGTGTGCTCTAAGCTTTCATTAATATCCTACCTTGTAGTGAGTTTCCTAACATTTCTGTAATATCTCACCCAGTGTTATATGCTCTAAGCTTTCATTAATATCCTACCTTGTAGTGAGTTTCCTAACATTTCTGTAATATCTCACCCAGTGTTATATGCTCTAAGCTTTCATTAATATCCTACCTTGTAGTGAGTTTCCTAACATTTCTGTAATATCTCACCCAGTGTTATATGCTCTAAGCTTTCATTAATATCCTACCTTGTAGTGAGTTTCCTAACATTTCTGTAATATCTCACCCAGTGTTATATGCTCTAAGCTTTCATTAATATCCTACCTTGTAGTGAGTTTCCTAACATTTCTGTAATATCTCACCCAGTGTTATATGCTCTAAGCTTTCATTAATATCCTACCTTGTAGTGAGTTTCCTAACATTTCTGTAATATCTCACCCAGTGCTGTGTGCTCTAACACAAACAAATAAAGGAGTGAAACCTGAACAGGGGAACCCAACAAAACAACAAGTGTCTCAGCAAGAAGCCTTCATCAGCGGACAAACAACAAAAACAGACTAAAAATAACGCTTAGCTACATTTCAGCTATGTGCTTTTTTATTCCACCCACAGCAGACGTATTGATTTCGGCTTTCAAGAAGTATGTCACCTTTATTTAAAATAATATATAATTTTACTAAAAAATATATTCTTGATACAACGCTACCCAGGGGGCGGTACGTCTCACTTTGAGAACCACCACTGTAACACTTCATTAATATCTCCCCTAGAGCCATGTGTCTTAACATTATTAATATCTCACCTTGTGCTGTTTGTCCTAATGTTATTTATATATCACCAAGTGCTGTGTGTCCTAATGTTATTTATATCTCACCCGGTATTGTGTGTTCTAATGTTATTTATATCTCACCCAGTATTGTGTGTTCTAATGTTATTTATATCTCACCCAGTATTGTGTGTTCTAATGTTATTTATATCTCACCCAGAATTGTGGATTCTAACATTATTTATATCTCACCCAGTTTTGTGTGTCCTAACATTAATTATATCTCACCAAGTGCTGTTTGTCCTAACATTATTTATATATCACCCAGTATTATGTGTCCCAACATTATTTATACATCACCCAGTATTGTGTGTCATAACATTATTAATATCTCACCAAGTGCTGTGTCCTAACATTTTATTAATATCTCACCAAGTGCTGTGTCCTAACATTTTATTAATATCTCACCAAGTGCTGTGTCCTAACATTTTATTAATATCTCACCAAGTGCTGTGTCCTAACATTTTATTAATATCTCACCAAGTGCTGTGTCCTAACATTTTATTAATATCTCACCAAGTGCTGTGTCCTAACATTTTATTAATATCTCACCAAGTGCTGTGTCCTAACATTTTATTAATATCTCACCAAGTGCTGTGTCCTAACATTTTATTAATATCTCACCAAGTGCTGTGTCCTAACATTTTATTAATATCTCACCAAGTGCTGTGTCCTAACATTTTATTAATATCTCATGCTCACCTAGTGCTTTTTCTTTATATGAAAGGTCGGCATGTTTGGCTAATAGCTGAGATTTGTTGTAGAAGAGGGACAGCACTAACCCTAGCCACACCACTGTGTGAGTATTATGGAAATCAGTGTCTTTAGGTAAGCTATATCTGCCCTTAAATTTTATTAATATCTCACCTAGAGCTGTGTGACCCTTGGTATGTTTGAGTATGTCACTGTGAGTCTTGGGGAGATCAGTGTCTTTAGGTAAGTGGTATCTGGTGAAGGACATGAAACAGTAAAACTTTGAGCGAGATTTGTGGGAGAAGAGTGGTGAGGTCATCAGTTCCTTGCCAAAATAACTCCACAGCTGGTATCTGCAGAAGAAAAGATTGGAGAACAAATAAAGGATTGTATAAACTAAAACAAGATTTATTCACCTTCTACACCAATCAAATCATATTTTAAAGTTTTCTTTGGATATTTTTGGATAACTGTATGAAGGATGGAAATTTTTCAAATTTTGCAAATATATTTTGTTACAAATATATTTCAAATCTATGCTAAAAAATTTTTAACTTACAGATATTTTAACATTTATTTTATAAAATTAACAAGATACAAAATACCTTTTTTGCAAAACTTATGCAATAAAATATTTTCAAAGATTTAATTTGATAATTCAAAATATATATATATATATATATTACAATTATATGTACTGGAAAGATAACTTTAGCAAGATGCTCAAAAGAAATTCTAATAAAGCTTATTTTCCTAATTCATATAATAAATCAAAGGTCCTTAGTAACATAAGGCGTGTAAGCAGAATCTACCTTTCCAGCACTTGCTTTCAATAGACTTTCAATAAATAAGATTATTGCTTTCAAATAAATGATATGTATCTTTGGTACCAATGTATTATTGGTATTACTTTCAATAAATTATATATGTATCTAGACAAGTTGTGATAGTGGGACATTTTTTTTTTAAATTATGTATCTAGTCCCGTTTGTTATAGTGGAATATTGCTTTCTATAAAGTATATGTATCTAATCTAGTAATCAAGGGAATCGTTTCATGGACATTAACTGTACACACTACAATCAGAATATCAGCTGCACCCCCCTACTATACGTTAACAGTGATGTATTTGATCTGATGCATCCATCTGCAAATGTTGCATCTCCACAGAAATAAGTAGATTACTCACTAATAGCCCACCCATCCTCATACATTAAATTGTCCTGTCATAATACCCATCTTCACACAATAAATTGTCCAATCATAAATACCCATGACAACACAGTAAAATCCCAGTTATAGCATACCCACACCCACACAGAAAGTGAGTAAATTATACAGACATAGCATACCCACCCCACACAGTAAATTACCCGGTCATTGCATACCCAGCCCCACACAGTAAATTATCCAATCATCACATATCCACCCCCACACAGTACATTACCCAGTCATAGCATAGGCTTCCTCCAGTTTGAGCTTGCTGTAGAAGATGTGACAAACCGGTTGATGGTCAGAGTCCATCTCAACTTGGAATGTGATCCGTCCAAAGCCGTGCTCCCTCATCTTCTCTGCTGTCAGTGTCTGGATGACCAGGGCCCCCAGGGCTATTCGTCTTGCAGCTGATTCAGCTGAGCAGGATATATCATCTGGGCCCTAGTTGGAATAGGCATGAAATACTAATAGGAACATAGAGATGATGGCACAGACAAATTATGCCAATAATAACACTGAAATATATGTTGCCAATAAAAGATGTTTTGACAATGAAAGATGTGGTGACAATGAAAGATAGGCTGACAATGAAATATATGTTGGCAATGAAAGATATTTTGCCAATGAAAGATATTTTGCCAATGAAAGATATTTCAACATTGAAAGATATGTTGACAATGAACGATATTTTAACAATGAAAGATATTTTGACAATGCGTACAGTGTATAGAGTTTTGAACATATTGGTAAAAAAAATGTAAAATGGGTCATTATGTAAAATCCAAAATGAGACTACCTAATATAGCACATCAAATTGCCATGGCAAAAAGAACAATGAAAATAAATTTACTTGGAAATGTCCATCATCATCTGCACACACAATATACACAGGTCTCACTATGTGAGTGAAACCCGGTACGTCGTAGGTCAGTCTCAATGTCAAGGACTCTTGGCCACATCTCAGATTGATGATGTTATCGCCAGGTTGTAACCGGGCCAATACCTGCAGAAAGTAAAACCCACAAACAAATGACAATCACTGGCAACTCATCGAACATTAATATGCCTAGAACAGTGGTCCATTATAGAGATTTCCAGAAAAATTGACCCAATCCTTTTATTCTTTCCAATTTTTTTATTTTTTGTGAACAAAAATAGATTAATTAATCCTTCTTGTTGTTGATTCAAATTTCTTGCACAGCTGCCATTAATTAAGTCAACAAGGCATTACCAGCATTGGCATTTGGTAAAGCACCATTGTATAAGGTAAATTAGGTCATCTCTATATTACTCATTGCAATATTTCTCTCTAAACTGAAAGTTCACTTGTAATAAAATAAAAGGCATGCGTTTTTTGTATGACGGGTGAAAAATTGTTATGACCATGTTTATTTTGACTTCTGATACGAACTACATCAGTCATTTCCAAACTGGGCACAGATCAATTTAAAGGGGATGCACAAAGTTTCATCTTAATAAATGACTAACATTTTTTTTATGAAATGAGAGCATAGAGAATTGCTTTGAGATAAGAGGGCACTAAGATTTTTTTTTTTACGATATGATTTGAAAATTGAGTTTTGAAAAGACTGCACTAACTTTGAAGAAATACAAATAAAATAAATCTGAGCAAGGACACTTTCTTTCATTATTTTTAGGGGAAATGATATTAGATTGGGACAACCATCTGCTTGGAGCTCACCTTGAAACATCCTTCTACCACAGGCCACTCAATGACACCATCTGGATCGCCTGAGGTGGACACCATGAGAACACCATCCAGAGCACTCCCCTCTATGTCTCCCACAAGCAGAGGCAAAGGGTAGATCACACATTCTCTGTCAGAGATGTTATGGACCCTGATCTTCATTCTACCCGCTCTCCGTTGTCATGGCTACTGCAGCTGAAAAGGGGGGGGGGGATGATTTGGGTGGAGGCTGGAGTTGAGCTGCTGGAATGCTGACCACAGTTCTCATACTGTCAACTGGATGGCACATCTGGCTTGTGTCCAGCCATCTAGACAAATAGAGAACAGTTGAACAAATCAACACCTCCCCATATGGAGCGAGGGGGGAATTAATGAAAAATGAGATGAGAAAAGAGCTATGGACAGAGCAGGATTCAGTGAGCACACATGATAGCTGGGCTGTGTTTGGTTTCTTATTGATTGAGAGAAGCCTCTCCAAATGTGCTTAATCCAGCAAGGTACCAGGAGAACGACAAAAGAAATCTCTTTATAACATTGGCTACCCGAAAATCCCACAGAATTAGATTCTGCTTTTGATGAAAAAATAAGAAAAATAATTCAGTTTTTTATTTTTTTTGTTGATTCCTTGGTGTATAGTGTAAAGAATGGTGGTTTTAATAAAATTGTGGGAATACTAATAAAGAAAAACGTGAGACCATTTTGGTTTTTTTATTTTGGATTGAGAAACAATTTTTTTATTAACTTATTTTACTAGTTAGCTCTCATGATCAAACTGTTATTTGACTATTTTTTCCTATTTTGCTTCTCATGCGAATTCAAATTATAATTGAATGACCAGTCAAATGATTCAGAAACCCAGTCCTCTGATTCTATGCACTTTTTACAAATCCTTAGTGCATAGTTGCATTGTTGAACTGAATTCCTGTTACGTGTAATGTCATATCACTTCATAGTGCTATTGAACTGCATTCCTGTTACATGTAATGTCATATCACTTCATAGTGTATTAGGGTGTTATTGAACTGAATTCCTGTTATATGTAATGTCATATCACTTCATAGTGTATCAGTGTGTTATTGAACTGAATTCCTGTTACATGTAATGTCATATCACTTCACAGTGTATCAGGGTGTTATTGAACTGAATTCCTGATATTTGTAATGGAGACCAGAGCTTGTCCACTACGTTTATTGATTTCCCAAGAGAACCCAATGTATTACATTTCTCTCTGGTTGTTGTTTAAGGCAACAGTTCTTAATGACACAGTCATTGTTTGTTGTTATTTGTGGTTTGTTGTTTTTTTTTAGTTTTAGAGAAAACATGATTTCAATCAATGTTTATTATTCAGCATAAGGAAAGAGCAGACCCAAGTTGAGGGTGCTGACTGATCTAAACGTGTCAGCGAAGCTGTGCTGCGTTATGCCACAAATCTATGATCAGAACATTCTATTTTTAGCTAAGATATAATTATATCGTGACCGCCACAGCAATTGCCCTTAAGCCTTAACGACTATATCACGGGAGTAGGTTTGTTTTTTTTTGTTGGGTTTTTTTTTGTGTGGTGTTTTTGGGGGCCGGAAATTATGAGCCAGTGGCAGCGGTGGAGGCCACAAACGAAAGTTCAGAGGATGATTATTAGAGACCGGAAGATAAAAGTACAAGTAAAGTGAATTAAATGGATCTGGGCATAACAGGTGCTAAGCTGTAGTGGATGGATTGCAAGCAGGGTTGTTTTCAGAATATTTCATCACTACATCAGCAGCCCTTGACATGTGTCATGGCAAATGGTTCTTTCTGTCACTGCAGCTCTCAACTCAAATCATATCAAATAGTTAATTATGTCACTGCAGTTGTCAACTTGTGTCATATCAAATAGTTCTTTCTATCACGGCAGTTGTCAACTTGTGTCATATCAAATAATTATTTCTGTCACTGCAGTTCTCAACTTGTGTCATATCAAATAGTTCTTTCCATAACCAATGCCACCCTTAAATTATCATCCACCGAGTATTGTATGGTCAATGAATATCACCAGAGTGAATAATCTTATGGTTATAGAGCAGAAAATAAAAACGAAAATGTTGAATGTATAAAATGATGCAGTGTCACCCAGCTAGTACCAGGGGTGTCTGTCAGTGTCACACAGCTAGTACCAGAGGTGTCTGTCATTGTCACCCAGCTAGTACCAGGGGTGTCTGTCAGTGTCACCCAGCTAGCACCAGGGGTGTCTGTCAGTGTCACCCAGCTAGTGCCAGGGGTGTCGGTCAGTGTCACCCAGCTAGTACCAGGGGTGTCAGTCAGTGTCACCCAGCTAGTACCAGGGGTGTCGGTCGGTGTCGCCCAGCTTGTACCATGGGTGTCGGTCAGTGTCACCCAGCTAGCGACAGGGGTGTCGGTCAGTGTCGCCCAGCTAGTACCAGGGGTGTCAGTCGGTGTCGCCCAGCTTGTACCATGGGTGTCGGTGTTGCTAAGCACTGGGTGGACTTTGTTACAGGATAAAAATACGCGTTAAATCAAAACGAGGAGAATGTTTTACGACTTCAGTCAACGTTGCTCGACTCGTTGCTCGACTCGTTGCTCGACTCGACACCTCCACTTCGCTTAAAGCTCATAGTAAACAAGTAAATACTAAAACTACCGTACCTGACAACATTATGCATGGCACAAAGCCACTGGCATCAAGCACGGGGAAAAAGTGATGCATTGCGAGTAGAGTATCTCTGTTATATTGGAAGCTGTATGTCGCCTGGCTATGGCCGATAGATTGTTTAGCATTATTTCTGGTTGGTGTGGCGGGTGGGTGATGTGGCACCTTTGTGATGTGGGTCTGTCTGTACTGTCTGCTACCCAGATAACTCGAAATCGGGCTTCGGGTTTAGTAGGCTACAAGAAATTATTTATTTATTGTATTTAAAACACTTGGAATTATTTTTTTAATTAATTATAAACAATTGCTTGGGGATTGCATAAAGAGAAGGCAGTATGGGTCCCCCACCATCCACCACCCCCCCCCCCCCCCCCCCCAAAAAAAAAGCTTACACTAGCAGAAGGAGTCTCGAAATATCCTTTACGACACTCAAACAACATCCAACATATCCTGAGTGGGACAGACCTGACCCATGTTACTGTTGGCAGCACCGGCACGTCCCAATACAGAGCGGCATCAATGGAAAGGGTGTCAGGGTGTATGGCTTATTAATGACGCTAATCGCGTGATAGCAGTGCTGAGTGGTCTGCTGAGACATGTACACTTGGTGGTCGACTGATAGGTCAGCGGGTCAGTCCTGGGTGGGAGGGAATTTAACTGGGCCACGACAGACGGGGCAACATTCGTTCAACAAGTCTGAGTGGACAGCAGACTCGACACGCGGGGCAACATTCGTTCATCAAATCTGAGAAGACAGCAGATACGACAGACGGGGCAACATTCGTTCAACAAGTCTGAGAAGACAGCAGATACGACAGACGGGGCAACATTCGTTCAACAAGTCTGAGAAGACAGCAGACACGACAGACGGGGCAACATTCGTTCAACAAGTCTGAGAAGACAGCAGACACGACAGACGGGGCAACATTCGTTCAACAAGTCTGAGAAGACAGCAGACACGACAGACGGGGCAACATTCGCTCAACAAGTCTGAGAAGACAGCAGACACGACAGACGGGGCAACATTCGTTCAACAAATCTGAGAAGACAGCAGACACGACAGACGGGGCAACGTTCGTTCAACAAATCTGAGAAGACAGCAGACACGACAGACGGGGCAACATTCGTTCAACAAGTCTGAGAAGACAGCAGACACGACAGACGGGGCAACATTCGTTCAACAAGTCTGAGAAGACAGCAGACACGACAGACGGGGCAACATTCGTTCAACAAGTCTGAGAAGACAGCAGACACGACAGACGGGGCAACATTCGTTCAACAAGTCTGAGAAGACAGCAGACACGACAGACGGAGCAACATTCGTTCAACAAGTCTGAGTGGACAGCAGACTCGATACGCGGGGCAACATTCGTTCAACAAGTCTGAGAAGACAGCAGACACGACAAACGGAGCAACATTCGTTCAACAAGTCTGAGAAGACAGCAGACACGACAGACAGGGCAACGTTCGTTCAACAAGTCTGAGAAGACAGCAGACACGACAGACGGGGCAACATTCGTTCAACAAGTCTGAGAAGACAGCAGACACGACAGACGGGGCAAAATTCGTTCAACAAGTCGGAGAAGACAGCAGACACGACAAACGGGGCAACATTCGTTCAACAAGTCTGAGTGGACAGCAGACTCGATAGGCGGTTCAACATTCGTTCAACAAGTCTGAGAAGACAGCAGACACGACAAACGGGGCAACATTCGTTCAACAAGTCTGAGAAGACAGCAGACACGACAGACGGGGCAACATTCGTTCAACAAATCTGAGAAGACAGCAGACACGACATACGGGGCAACATTCGTTCAACAATTCTGAGTGGACAGCAGACACGACAAACGGGGCAACATTCGTTCAACAAATCTTAGAAGACAGCAGACTCGATAGGCGGTTCAACATTCGTTCAACAAGTCTGAGAAGACAGCAGACACGACAAACGGGCAACATTCGTTCAACAAGTCTGAGAAGACAGCAGACACGACAAACGGGGCAACATTCGTTCAACAAGTCTGAGAAGACAGCAGACACGACAGACGGGGCAACATTCGTTCAACAAGTCTGAGAAGACAGCAGATACGACAGACGGGGCAACATTCGTTCAAGAAGTCTGAGAAGACAGCAGACACGACAGACGGGGCAACATTCGTTCAACAAGTCTGAGAAAACAGCAGACACGACAGACGGGGCAACATTCAACGGGTCTGATTACGACTCCAGCCAATAGATGACGACTCTAATTCTAATGCTACACGAATACATCAAGTCAAACAACAAAACCCAAAAAGCTTTAACCCTTGGCCACTACGTGATGTGACCTTGCTAATAACAATAAATGCTGATTTGATGATGACGATTGATGACTTGTAGAGCGCCCTGTGTCTACAAAGCGCTCTGATCATGATGTCATAAACTCTGATGATTGATAGCATGTCAAAAAATCAGATGATGAGCTGAGAAATCCCATGGATGATTAGGAATAGCTTTATATTTATACAGTTTGCACCGTCAGCCACTGCAATCAGTTGCTCAATATGATTCTTTATACAGTTTGCACCGTCAGCCACTGCAATCAGTTGCTCAATATGATTCTTTATACAGTTTGCACCGTTAGCCACTGCAATCAGTTGCTCAATATGATTCTTTATACAGTTTGCACCGTCAGCCACTGCAATCAGTTGCTCAATATGATTCTTTATACAGCTTGCACCGTCAGCCACTGCAATCAGTTGCTCAATATGATTCTTTATACAGCTTGCACCGTCAGCCACTGCAATCAGTTGCTCAATATGATTCTTTATACAGCTTGCACCGTCAGCCACTGCAATCAGTTGCTCAATATGATTCTTTATACAGCTTGCACCGTCAGCCACTGCAATCAGTTGCTCAATATGATTCTTTATACAGCTTGCACCGTCAGCCACTGCAATCAGTTGCTCAATATGATTCTTTATACAGCTTGCACCGTCAGCCACTGCAATCAGTTGCTCAATATGATTCTTTATACAGCTTGCACCGTCAGCCACTGCAATCAGTTGCTCAATATGATTCATGAAGTGCTTGGAATATGGCGATGCCGTATTTAAACCAATCAAAAGTTGAAACAGATTATATCCTGAATAACTGACTTGGACAGCGGAGACCGATGTACCAAATAATGCATAATAGAAGCAACCTAAATGACTTCTCGGCACAAGCCCTCCTCCATTGGACTCTGTGGGATAACTTATTCATGGCCGCTGTCCTGGCCGTTTCTTCCACAGCTAAATGGGGAAAGCAATCGTATCAAAGGGGCGATAAGACGCTTTCAAAACACGCCAGCTCGTGTCACTAATCACGGTCACGGGAACTGGGATAAGGGGGCGAGCTGGGCCGACCCGTCACGTGGTGCAATAGTGTAGATATCGATGGGGGGGGGGTGCAGAAATATATCCCATAATAGTGACTCAGATGTGAGTGCAGAAATATGTCACGTACCGGGTATTAGTGACATAGATGGGGGTGCGAAAATAAGTCATATATTAGTGACATAGATGGGGGGGGTGCGGAAATATGTCTAATATTCGTGACATGGATGGGACGCATCCGTGACAGCATACGTTAATGAAACAGATAGTAGACGATGTAAAGGCTTGTTACAGCAGCAGGTTGATGTGTGGATCAATGTTACAAACCGGTGCGTAACCGATGGGGTGAATGCTTGTTACAGCAGCAGGTTGATGTGTGGGTCAATGTGACAAACCGGTGCGTAACCTATGGGGTGAAATCTTGTTACAGCAGCACGCCCCGCTGCTCTCATGCGTGGTGCACAGGGAATGAGTGGATGCACTCATTTTAAGACGTGGAGCAGTCTTGATCAATGGCCAGAGCCCCGCCCCCCCTCTCGTGGTCTCCGTTCAGCGTTCTTGGGTGGACAGATCAAAACCTTGGTGGTGGGCAGTGCAGTGGACAGATGTATGTAACTGTAACAGTCAACAAAAGAGATCTGGTGTAGAGACGTCCAGCAGAAGCATGAAAGAGCTGTGCTAGATACACAGAACAGAAGTAAGTGGGGAGGGGGGGGGGGGGGGGGGGGGGGGGCGCAGAATGCATGAAACAAGGGAATGTTGAGTTCCTCAGACCCGTGTAGCAGCCAAAGAGAGTGGTTTTAAAGACCGTTGTTGATGCAGTAGGACAGAGGTCTGTGGAACGCTAAAACAGTCCGAAATACAGATTATATCGGACAATAGCGTCGTTTTGTTTCACATAAGAAAATATTTATACGTCTGCTGCAATATAGAGTCCCATTCTACAGCCCTGCTATACATACTGTGTGGGAGAGAGGGGGAGAGAGAGATATGAGACGGAGGGGGGGGGGATATCACAAGGGCCTGCTTTGCATAATGAGTGAGAGAGAGAGAGAGAGAGAAATGGGTTTTGGTTATCTACAATTACAATGCCATAATGCAAAGAAGTATACCCCATAGTGAGCGCAGGGCAATTGATCAAATATGGTAACGCGTTTGTGTGACGGGGTTAGCAAATGATTAATCGAATTACCGCTGGGGTTCAAACGTCAAATATCAGAGAACAAAAAAAAAAAAAAATTTGGAGACGTCATCCCTTGACTAGTTTAATGAGAATGATATTTATTCAGCTACCGGTTCTTGATCTTTACCATAAATAATTATGTGTTATGGATTTAGATAGAGGAACAGAATTCAACAAGAAACAAATAATTCAACTTTTATTTTCACCAGGCTCAGTTGAACTAACCAATAAGTCAATCGTTTCCGTTTTACGGTGGATCCAAGTTGTTTTATCCTTCAAACTCCTGAGAAAAACGTCACGGCTTCAGAGTCCCGCCTCCTAGTATCGCAATCCAATCATTCCAAAGGGACGTGTCAAGCAGACATTCGCTTCATCTTGTTAACAGGGAAAAGATCCCCAATCATGTAGGGACAGATGACCCGATACCAAGTGGGGACCAAAGCGTACTGACGGGGCCTCGTGGAGGCTCGCTCAATAAGCCGTGGTACAATATCACCTTTGGTGGTGTACTGGTGGTGTGGAGGCTCGCTAAATAAACCGTGGAACAATATCACCTTTGGATGGTGTACTGGTGGTGTGGAGGCTCGCTCAATAAGCCGTGGTACAATATCACCTTTGGAGGTGTACTGGTGGTGTGGAGGCTCACTCAATAAGCCGTGGTACAATATGACCTTTGGTGGTGTACTGGTGGTGAAATTGGTGGGTAACACTAAGAGGCGGTATATTTGAGTGGTTGCCTTGGGACATATCCATCCCATGACGTCACAGGAAGATGGGGACGGACATCTGATCCCTCTGTGGAGTAACATCTGCACACCCCCGTGGCCGGTTTGTTCTATTTCTGTTTAATGTTCAGTCATGCACGGCAAGACGGTCAATGCGATCGGAGGTTGAGTTGTTGTACTGTCAAATGTTTATCCAGCCACGCGTGGGGATGTGAAGGCCTATACATATAATGCCCAGACCAATTGGGGCAGACGGGTCAGGTCAAGTTAGGGGCAAAGTTCATAACCCGGAGGAGCTGAGCATAAAATGATCAACTTTTTCTTAAAATCTCAAGTTTCTAGTGGACAAAAAGTCAGTATCACAGTTCTCATTAGTCATAAATAAATTATTCACCAGGTCTCTGTTTGATTTCTAAACATATTTTGAAGAGAGTATGTTTGTTATAGAGTACCGGTAAATACATAAATTGTGTAAATATTCACATATTTTTTTACGGTACTCATTTAGTGGGTCGCGTTACGGTACTCATTTAGTGGGTCGCGTTACGGTACTCATTTAGTGGGTCGCGTTACGGTACTCATTTAGTGGGTCGCGAATGAGAAGTATAAAAATAAGAGGGCAAAGAATAAAACGTTTGTGGAAACGCTGGACTAAATGAAGGACGTCTCTAGGGTCATGTCTAACGTCATCAAAAGCCTATTGCGTGTTGCCAACGATTACCGTTCTATAGTGGGGGTCGGCCTCACCATCGACCTGGTGACTTGAAATAGTTTTCAGCTTTCCCAATATATTGATTGGAGCTCTTCAACTCATTTCCAGCTCACAAAAGGAACAGCTCTTTTTCTCCTGTTTAGTTTTTCGTGAGCAGCTCCCAGTCCAGTTCTTCTTTCGCGTACATTGACCACGTGATCCGGGCAAGTTGGACTCGCAAGCACGTGTTCAATAAATGAAGGCAAATACAATGTCAAAGAAACCCATGAGGTCAAAGAAACCCATGAGATAAAGGGACCAATAGAGACGACTATAAAAGTCGTATCAGACACGTGTTCACTAAATTAGGACAGACAAATACAATGTCAGTGAGACTCATGAGATAAAGGGACCAATAGAGACGACTATAAAAGTCGTATCAGACACGTGTTCACTAAATTAGGACAGACAAATACAATGTCAAAGAAACTCATGAGATAAAGGGACAAAGAAAGACGATTATAAAAGTGGTGTCTGCAGACAATACTAATCAATTTCAAGGGCAGTAATTAATATGCTTCAAATGCGCCTGGCGTCTTTAGTCAGTGGCATAGTCTGGATTGAGAGCGCCCGGGGCAATCACGGTACTGAGCCCAGACCCGTTAGCCCCACAGTACTCCCCTAATCTCCAACCCCCCTCCCCCCCCCCTTTCCGTTTAACCACATATCTCCCTCCAAGCTTATACATTGTAATTAGTGAAAATACTGATGTAGTTATAAAGAAACAACTTGGTGTTGTCAAATGAATAGTTTGGCTTGCTTCACACATTTCACAATGACTTAAAATTATAAACGTCAACAAGTCAACTTACCCCATATGCTGTCATTGTTCTTGACGTCTTAGTTAGTATTATTCGACTCCCGATAAAGTAGCTTTTCTGACGCTGTTATACAACAAAAAGGTCGTCCCTGTGTTATTGTTATGTTTAGATTGAGATAGGCACCTAGAGCATTAATATTCAGTCACGCCAACAAAAAGGTCGTCCCTGTGTTATTGTTATGTTTAGATTGAGATAGGCACCTAGAGCATTAATATTCAGTCACGCCAACAAAAAGGTCGTCCCTGTGTTATTGTTATGTTTAGATTGAGATAGGCACCTAGAGCATTAATATTCGGTCACGCGCAATTCAAGACGAACTACTTTCTGTTATTTCGTGAGGCAGGGAGCGCCATGGTTCCATACATTTGTTTGTTTTTAAAAAACAACAAATATCTGATACGATTTGGCACGACTCCACAATTGTGTACAAGCATCGAATCAAAACTAGAGCTGTTATCTTTAAGAGGGCACGTGTACTTGCCTGCCTAGAAACATAGATTTTTTTTTTTTCAATATTGCACCCCCTAGCTTAGGGTCTATGCCCATTACTCAAGCACTCTTCAGTAAACATGAAATACAGTGCAAAAGGTAAGTGAAATGGCACAAATAGTCCTTTTATTTTCGTATCCAATGATTTGATACTTGTTTGATATCACCGCGTGGTTTGTTGGGCTTTTCTCACTCAGTCAAATGCCCATGACTCTAGTGTCTAGAGACTATACTGTGTGTATTGGTTTTAATAGTTGCAATTCCCAATAGGCCAGGCTGGGGATAGAATGTTCAACATTGGCTTTATCATCATAGCTAACTAAGCTAACCAGCCATTGCATATTAAGACTGTTATATTTAAAACCTTTTTTTTTTTTTTTAAATGACTGCCTCAACGAAGTTGAACAACTACCAAGAGCAACAAAAAAAAAAAAAATTAATTGAAAAAAAAATATTGCATATTAATACTTTTATATTTTAATCCTTTTTTTTTTTTTTAAATGACTGCCTCAACGAAATTAAACAACTACCAAAAGCAAAAAAAAAAAAAAAAAAATTAGTTGAAAACAAAACGTTATATAGCCAACTACTCCATAGGCAATTAGATCGTAGAGCAGCTCTGTTACATTACACATATATACTTCAATAGGGTCTGCAACCGAAATTGTTGTTGACACAGTCAGCAATACTTGATGTTCATTATTACAGTAATGATTTTTGTTGTTAAGGCTAAGGCGTGTGGAGAAGAGGCCTACCCAATCAGCAGTGGTACATCAATTCAAAGCTGATCAAACATTATCACCGGATCCTTTACAACAAGATCACCGGAAGAAAGAAAAGCCAACCGTCCAGAAATCAATGTCTGCTCACCTTAACACACGCTTTGGCAAGTGGTGTGCAATTCAAACGGATTTCCCCACAAAGCTAGGAATCACGGAAGTGAAACTACGCACACGGTTGCTGGCGTACCGGCAACATCGTCCTCCAGCAACAGCGTACGTCGGTGTGAGGCAGTGGGAGGGACCCGATGGGGACAAGTGAGAGAGGGGAGAAGAGGTGCAGGAAGAGAGAGAGAGGGGGGGGGAGACTATGAAAATAGTATGACATGGCAGAGATAAATTCCGTTCAGCGATCGCTCTCACCCGCTGCCTGGTCATGAGCGCAAGCCGATTAGACAAATGGTGGGAATTGTGGCACGCGCTCAACTGATAACTGGTGCGCTCGGTGGCGTTTCAGCAATATATATATATATATATATATATCCAGCGGAGTGGTGGGTCAATTCATTTGTTTGGTTCTTTTTTTTTAAATTTATGCAAATGTGGGAAATGGAGGGCTTGAGACACGGTAGCTTTTACTTCAACTTGACCAGAAAAGGACACAGAAAAAGCCAAGTAAAAGGACAACGTAGAACGAGCAGACGTTGACCGGCGAACACCAGGCGGAGATGCGTCCAAGTGTGCCACGCTTTCCAAACGTCGAAAGACCGACACGTCCACGCATTCCACAACACCAGGGGCCGTGCATATACATCGGAGGACAACTAGGACGACTACGTCACTCAATGACAAACCCGCACCTAATAAGAGAAATGGTGGCCGGGAAACGATGACATGTTCAGGTTTGGAAGGCAAAACAACAACAAAAACAAAAACAAAAGGACAGAGCGAGTAAAACGACGTTTCGACTAAATGTCTTCTTCAACAGACAATAAATACACACACAAAAAAAGGGGGGAAAAACCCGAATTATTTGAAACCAGTTATAGCTCGCCAAACATTGGCGACGGCAATGCGTGAACTTCCCATCTACTAAAGTTACTTGACAAAACATGAACTCAAGTATCGCACATTTATGAATTCCAATTTTTGCTACAATCCCCCCCCCACCCCCCCATGATACGTCACTGCATACTTTTTTTGTCCACGCCCCTGAACTATATTAGATATGTTTATATCCCAAACACTTTTAAACTGAATACATTTTCTTACACCATTCGTAAATTGAGACGATTTCATTTATCGAAAAATATAACGCACCAAACGAAGTTGCGTTATTAAAAAAATATAAATGATTTAGCGGAGTTATCGGGAAATATATTTTGCGCCCTAGTGAACTCATTATCTATATATAGCCTGCGTGGTGGTGGTGTTTGACCTTTGCTGGCGAATTATATATATATAGATTGAAAAAAAAAAAACGTAAGTGTTCCCCGAGCACAATAAGGCGTTCTCATTCTCTGTGTTGAAATAAAGTCTGCATGTGCAGTCGAAGAGGCCAGTCCGCATTTAAGTCCAATACCAGGACTGAGACCCGGCGGACTTGTAGATTATTATGTTTGTTCCGGCCCGTTTCAACTTGTTGATGTCCAGTGATGTATATGTAATAAATGTACACAGATTAAGCGGGTTTGATTTATAGTGAATAAGCTACAATATAAAGGGTTGGCACCCCCGTAAGGGCATGTGCAAACAAGAATAGATGAAACTATTCGCTAACGCGTTAGACATTGTAAGTCAATAAAAATGAAGAGAACTGAATTCCTTTTCTGGTAAGACAACATTTATAGCCTCATTCATGTGGATTCTTGGGAAATTAATTATTGGAAGGAGCCCAAACGTCATCCTTTTTGTACCTAGCACAGAGACGCCACTCACTTACTTGGTGTACCTGTACCAAGCAGAGAGACGCCACTCACTTACTTGGTGTACCTGTACCAAGCAGAGAGACGCCACTCACTTACTTGGTGTACCTGTACCAAGCAGAGAGACGCCACTCACTTACTTGGTGTACCTGTACCAAGCAGAGAGACGCCACTCACTTACTTGGTGTACCTGTACCAAGCAGAGAGAGGAGCGAAACGGTTGTGTGATCCACATTAAACGAATGTGTACGAGTGTACGCTTTGGCTGTGGAAGGGGGGTGGCTGTGGAGGAGGGGGGGGTTGGCTGTGGGAGGGTAAGTTGTCAAGGGGGTACCTGTGGAGGCGGTAGTGGTGGAGGGGTTAGTTGTCAAGGTGGGAGCTGTGAAGGGAGGTAGTGGTGAAGGAGGCTTCATGCGATAAAATGAATGTAATTTTTAAAGATATTTAAAATGTAAGAAAATGTAGAAAGTATAATTTAATCGCGTTATTTTGATTATATTAATATTTGATTGAGATAGGGACTATTTAATATGACGTAGCACTGGGGAGGGGTGTTGTTAGATTTTGCGTTAATACCGTGTGGCAAGTGGGGGGGAGGGGCGCTCGGAAGAAAATATTTATGGACAAACTATGTAATAATTATTCGGAAGTTATGACCGTCTCTCATAAAGCCAACTCATGCACCTTTCACGTACAAATCTGTCACATACATAATACCTATAAAAAAATGAAATCTATAAAAATAGCTCCGCATTGATTTGTAATTCTCCTCATAACGTTAGTGTTTTCAAACGTACCTGGCTAGAGATCACAAAAGTTATATTTAGTCCAGTGACTCGCTGTTCACCACCCTACGCCTTTTCGCAAGTTTGACGCAATTTGTGACGTAACCATGTCGTTGGGCTGAACTGATGGGGGGAGAGGACCCCAGAACCAAATTGATTTGATCTCGTGTTGCGTCAGTGTTTCGAAAACCTCCCCCACCCCACCTGTTACCTGAAAAGACTTGATGCTCCCCCAACCGACCCCAATGGGTTGAAGGACAAAAAAAATAGGCCTCCGTGCTGCCGTAGAAAACATTGAAATTCAATTTTGCTGTCTTTTCAGTCATTAAGATTCATTATTGTAGCATGTATCGCAATATCTAACAAACAGCAAAGGGGGGTAACTTTTTTTTTTTTTAAATACTGTTTTTATATTACAACCATCCTCCCAGCCCTTTATTTTATCCCAGAGTAGGGTTAGCGTTGCTAGCAGTGGCGTTGCTAGGGTTAACGTTGTTATCAGTGGCGTTGCTAGGGTTAGCGTTGCTAGCAGTGGCGTTGCTAGGGTTAGCGTGGCTAGCAGTGGCGTTGCTAGGGTTAGCGTTGCTAGCAGTGGCGTTGCTAGGGTTAGCGTTGCTAGCAGTGGCGTTGCTAGGGTTAGCGTTGCTAGCAGTGGCGTTGCTAGGGTTAGCGTTGCTAGCAGTGGCGTTTCTAGGGTTAGCGTTGCTAGCAGTGGCGTTGCTGTGGTCAGCGTTGCTAGCAGTGGCGTTGCTGGGGTTAGAGTTGCTAGCAGTGGCGTTGCTGGGGTTAGAGTTGCTAGCAGTGGCGTTGCTGAGGTTAGTATTGCTAGCAGTGGCGTTGCTGGGGTTAGTATTGCTAGCAGTGGCGTTGCTGGGGTTAGCGTTGCTAGCAGTGGCGTTGCTGGGGTTAGCGTTACTAGCAGTGGCGTTGCTAGGGTTAGCGCCGCCAAGATTTTTGCCGTCCCACTGCCATGAGAAAATTCTGCAGTTGGACGAAAATGCCCCCCCCCCCTTTTTTTTCTCTTCAACTCCTACACCACTGCGCCTGACACTATATGACATTCTATACTCTTCAAATTGTCTCCATGTGGAGCTCACGTCACAAGTTAGGAAGCATTGATTTACACTAACTTGACTTTATTGAACTGTCTTGTACTTCATTATGGTTTTTAAACAATGTGTTTTTTATTTTCATTTGGGGGAGGGTGACAGGTCATTGTACGCACGCATAGAGGGGGGATGTAAAAAAAAAAGTACGAGTGCGGCAGGGGCGGGCTAAAATTTGACTCTTATGACACGCCTCACGTCACGTCATACATGGGTGACGCGTGGGTCTAAGAAAAGTGTTTGTATAGCAAAGTGTCTCTCAAGTCAACTACAGATGAGAAGACTACGCTTTAACAAGTTGTGTTAATATTAAATACAACGCCCCCGGCCATCTCATTCCATTATGCCGGGTAACAGGTCCGTCAAGATTTTACTCAATAGAGCTTCCCTAAGTAGTGGTCTGCGAGCCTTACGTTATATCAGTGGTCCCCAAATGGCGGTCCGTGGGGCTTCACCGGTCCGCATGCCTAAACGCTGCCGGTCCCCATAACATAAATATTTATTGTCAAATAGAAATAACAGTATAAAAATAAATCATGCAACGGTCCCTGGTAAAATTTCGAAACTTGTTCACCGGTCCGCCAAACGTAAACGTTTGGGAACCACTGCGTGATTTCAACATGAGAAGAAACAAAAAAAAACTGGATAATTGTTGAAAAACGTTCACTAAACAGCCACGCCGAATAAAACGTGTAACGGCTAGCACTAAATGGTTAATAAAGCCAATAAAGCCCTCTGGCAACGGCTGATCACCAATTAAAACAAATATTATTTAGGCTCGGAATAAAAAAGATCAAAACTAATGAGTCAATCTGGCACAGGTCCCGGGTGCGGTAGAAAATGTATCCACTGTCCGCCCCCAACGTACAAACTTTGGGAAGCACTGCCCTACAAGATGGGTATCACAATTCTCCAATAGGAATCAATCAATACTTCCGCGTGCCGTTAAAATGTATGAGTCATCGCCAGGCTCACGGCGCACCGATGAAACCCTGCAAGTGTTACACGATGGTGGACCAGCATTCTGTCAACATCTAGTGTTACACGATGGTGGACCAGCATTCTGTCAACATCTAGTGTTACACGATGGTGGACCAGCATTCTGTCTATATCTAGCGTTACACGATGGTGGACCAGCATTCTGTCTATATCTAGCGTTACACGATGGTGGACCAGCATTCTGTCTATATCTAGCGTTACACGATGGTGGACCAGCATTCTGTCTATATCTAGCGTTACACGATGGTGGACCAGCATTCTGTCTATATCTAGCGTTACACGATGGTGGACCAGCATTCTGTCTATATCTGGTGTTACACGATGGTGGACCAGCATTCTGTCTATATCTGGTGTTACACGATGGTGGACCAGCATTCTTTCTATATCTAGCGTTACACGATGGTGGACCAACATTATGTCTATATCTAGCGTTACACGCTGGTGGACCAGCAGAAGTTTGTGGACCAGCATTC